TAAATTACGGTTTCATATTTTTAATTTTAGAATTTCTGCATGTCATCTTACGCGATTTAAACTGATGATCTATAATCCGGAAAAATCGATAATCCGGAATCGCCGAAGTCCCGAGAGTCCGGATTAACGACTTTTGACTGTAGCATTTTACTGAAGCATATCTAGGAAGACTGCCTATTTCACAAGTTAATTCAAATCCTTATGCGTATTCATTTTTTACGACACTGGGTTTTTAGATATTAAATGATAAACTACGTCTTTGTGAAGATAATATAAATTTTAAAGAAATCATATGAATACTATGGCCAAAATTCTTATCCTAACTAGAACTGTATTTAATTTAAAATCGCAAAAAATGACTACGTTCATACCTCATTCAAAATTTTACATTTTTTAATATTAATCAGATAAAGCATTGTTATTCTCTCATGATATAATTTTGACGTAGGAATTTTCCTGGAACAAGAAAAGTAGGGAGATGAGCAGTTGGTGTAATCTTTTAAAGCCTAAATGCATTTTAGGAAACGGGAACAATAAGTGGCTATTGTAATTTGAACTAAAAGATTTAGAACGCCATAAACATATACATGTAATAGAAAGCCTGGAAATGTTTTAAATGAAACAGCCCACAGGAGTAGAACTGCATTTGATAAACAGCGCTTAGTGAAAGGCGGAAAAGTTTATCGGTTGTGATATTGCTATTGAATTGAATTGAATTTTATGGTTTAAGTGGGAAAAACATAATAGTTAAGAAATAAAAGTAACACACAAAACGTTAAAAAAGTCCCCTTGGGGCGTAGATTCTTTTCTTTTTTTTTTTTTTTTCATAGGGGCCCATAAGCTCTACTTATGCCACTGAGTCTATGTTGGCTGATTTAGCCGAACCATGCATCCTCGAACTTGACTTTCTAAAGAAGTATGGTTTCTGTTTAGATGTCAAGAATAATGAATTGCGCACCTCTAATGAAGAAATACCGATATTGAGTAGATGAAGATAAAATACGCTGCTATAGGATAATCGCTCATGGATAATATTAATATCTCTCCCAGAACAGAATGCATAATCAGTAGTGCAGTAAAGACTTACGAGATTTTGCGTAGCGGGATTACTGATTTCCCGAAGGAAACTACAAGTTCGAAAGGACTCTTAATTGCAGCTGCCATCGTAGGGTTAGCAAAAGAAAATGTGCCTGCCAGAATTTTTAGTATATGTGTCAGACCTATTACTTTTATGAAAGGAAAGGAAACTGCTTCATGTCTTCCTGGGAAAAGTATCATGGGAAGTTCTGTCAAATGGAAGCAGAGTCCACTTGAATTAAAGGATTTAATTGAAAGTGCAGAATTGAATGCTGAACAAATTCAAGCTGCTAGTCATTTAATAGAAGAATTCAAATAAATATATCTTCTCGACCATGCCTAGTGATACTAGTCGCACAAATGCGGCATAAGGACGGATCGACACTGGAAGACATTCACCTATTAAGTAACATCCTCGGCGGCTTCCACTCGCAAAACAAGACAAAATTGGGAAGCTTCTGTAGGAGATGCAAGACAGTGATATTCTCCAGCCATCGTCTTAGTTTGGAAGACAGATTGGTCCACGCGATTTTGTGATATTAGAACTAAATGATATTAGAAGAACGAACAGACGACTAAATGATATTAGAAGAAAAACAGTTACTCTTTGCTTCAAGTTGACTACATGCTCTTCGAGTTGATGACACGCTAGCAGGGAGCAAATGATTTCCGCTTTGGATTTGAAGAGCTGCTACTGGGAAGTTGAAATGGACCTTTAATATCTTGAGAGTATTGCATTTACTACAATGACTTTGACAGTTTAAAGTAATGCCTTTTGGGCGGTGCAACACTCCAGTGACATTTAAACGTCTAATGGCGACAGTTCTGAAAGGATTCTCATACGAAGCATGCCTTGTATATCTCGAAGCGCTTAATTATTGTTGGACGCACTTTTGTAGAACATTTGAAAACATCCGAAAAGTACTACAGAAGCTCAGAAAACTTCAAAATGTTAACTATTTCGTAGAGAAGTTAGCTATCTTAGTCATACTATATCTGCCAAAAGTGTGGGCACAGTTCAGAGAAAATCACAGCTACTCGTGACTAGTGTCACCCTCAAGACGCTTATCAGCTAAGAAGCTTCCTCGGCCTCTCCACTTACTAAAGAAGCTATGTCAAAGGTTTCACTCAAATCACAAAGCTTTTGCACGCCATAACAGAAACAAAGCAGGCATTTTTACGGATTTCTGACCGTGAAGAGGCATTTCAAATCCTGAAGAATGCTTTGACTTCCTCTCCTGTGTTGGCTTATCCCCAATAGGAATGCAACTTTATTCTCGATACAGAAGCCAGTAATGAAGGAATTCAAGCTGTTCTTTGACAAGAAATTAATGGTCAGAAGTACGTCATTGTCTATTTTAGTAAAGTCTCTCTAAACCAGAAAAAAATTACTGTGTCACAGGAAAGAACTAGCCATCGCGAAGGCAGTAGAACATTTCCACTACTATCTCTAAGGCTGTTAATACCTGTTGCTTACAGCTCATGTGTCATTAAGCTGTCTACTTAAAAAAATTCTGAGGGTCAAGCGGCTAGATGTATACAGCGTCTGCAGGAATATAACATGGCAATTCGGCATTCCAAAGGAACTTCACACGGGAATCCTGACACGCTTTCAAGAAGCCTTTGTGCAGAAAAGTGCAAACATTGAAAGACGAATTAAAGTATGGTTTTGAAGTTTCAGTTGTCAGACCAATTAATACAGGCTTTTTAACATCAAAGACTAAGCCATGGTGTATGGAAGAACTGAAAAAAGTCCAAACGGAAGATGCTGAATTGAGGCCATTAATGGAAAAAAAGGAATGAGAAACTCAGCTTGCAAGAAATGGCACCCTTTATTCCGGCGACGAAAAGGTACTGGTATCTGTGAAATTTCCTCCACCTATGGGATGGAATTCTTCCGCAAATGAGAAGCTAACAAAGGAAAGAATTTCAAATGGCAACTTATTTAACCGAGATATCAAGTGCATAATAGTCCGTCAGAACTTCATAGCAGCCTTAGTGGAGGTAATTTTGGTGCAACGATGACATTCCACAAAGTTCATGAACGTTTCTTCCGGAACAAAGCCAAAGCAGATGTAGAAAAGTTGTGCAAGTCATCTGATGCATATGGAGTTCGAAAAGGCCCCCAAGCATGTACATGAGAAGATTACAACTCTACAGTGTGGAAGCATCATCAAAGAGGATTGCTTAAGGACTTTTACCTCGATCACAAGTACAACCTAGTTGTTATGGACTATTTTAGCAAATGGCACAAATAAAATAATGATACTTACATATAATCCTATAAACTGTGAAATTTGGCTACCATAGAACCATGAATGCTGGCAAAAATTCCTTTAAAGGTGTGCTTGTTGTTCCTGCAGAATTATAACAATCTTTATTTAATAAACAATCAGTATCTGATCCACTTTTTTTCATGCTTTGTAAAAATGCTTTTGTGGATTTCTATTACTTAGTTAGGTCTTCCAATTTTTAGCAGAAGGTTTATTTAAGAGAACAAACTTCCCAAAGGTTCTATTCCAGGATATTATTGTTTTGGTGCTCATATTAAAAACGTACATATTATGTTTTTTACTTAGTGTGCATATGATGGAACCATGTACATGAACACTCAGAAGTAACAACCATATCCACAACAGCTATATATGTAAAATGAACCAGAGTAATTTATGTGTGTGCATATTTATATATATGTATCATTTTAAATCTGGTCTGTAATTAAGAGTAAAATCAGTGCAACATGTTTAACTATTAATGTAAAATGTTTATGTATGTGCAACAATGTATGCATGTGTAAAACAAACATTATTGTAACGATATACTCTGTGTCTAAACCTAGGTGCACATAAAATGCACACGGTAATGTTTAATTATTAGTGCATAATATTCATGTAAAATCTACAGTGTGTGCATCAGTATACAATTATTGTATAACGTAAAATGTTTAACTATCAGTGTGCAGCATCCGAAAAATTTTCTATTAAGCTCTTGCTGCCGTACTTCGAGCATCAAAGAGTTTTCATGTTATACAACTGCAGATTCCGGACGATACCCGAATAGTCCTTAGTAAGACACCTGGGTGTTCACACCTGCTCTCATCTGTCACCTGCCTATAGTCAGCTAACCACACTGCATTTATTAATACACACTTTTCTTCTTGGAAGGATCACATAACTTTGAAAATAATCCACTGTTTGTGTTCTGTAGAAGATAGTTCCAAATTTTAATCATTTCTTTCAAAATGAAAGGAAAAACTATATCCTTATTCATAAAAAAACAAAAGATAGTTTATCGGAGAAGTGATCAAGTTCACATTAAACAAAAGCATAGATGTTATGAGTATGCTGTGACATCACGCTCATCCATAACTGGCACTAAATCATGTTGCTCGGCAAGTTTTATTTTTGCAGGGATAATATGTAAGTACCATAATAATAAGCACAAATTTACACTGAAGGTGCTTTTGTTTGTGTATATTAAATAAATTGTATACTAAGGTTTTAAATGAAACGTTTGTGTATACGGGTAGTCACCTGTTTTTCACTAAGGCTCTCATAACGTAAAAGCATCAAAAGATACATAGATTCAAAAATTTTTGGTCCTTGGATTTCATATCAGTCACTCCCAAAATCAATACAGTTTTACATAAATCTGCTGGTTGAGAGTTTTGGAACTATACTTGACTCGCTTTTCTACCTCACAAGCTATTTATAACTACGGAAAATCCTATAAAAAGAATTCAGTGTTAAAAATAATACTGTACTGATTTTAAAACTGATCACTTTTGATTAATTCCACAAGTAAATCTTTCAAATAAACTTTTGTATTTTAAAGTATTTCAGTCGCTAATTTTAACACATAATTGTTTAATGCTTCATGCATGTTTAGTGTTGTAAAATATACAAATATTAAAAACACTTCTGTAACTTCTAATAATATTATTTAATAATATAAGTTTTAATAATTATGCTTCCTACAATGTATAGTTCCTAGTTTTTGTATAATACACAGGTTAATGATGATGATCCAATTTAAATCTCAAGCCACAATAACCACAAGCTTGTGGTCCCTGATCCTGAAAAATAAATAACATTCAGTAAATCAAAGATAATACATTTTGTGCTTATTACAATGTCTTCATATTAAAATTGCATGTCACATATGTTCTAAAATGTACATGTATTTTAATGACCTGAATGATTTTAAATAACTGGATAAGCTTTGACACACAATTCAATGGCAACTTTTAGTAGCATGTTTGGCAACAAAAGTTAAAATATTGCTAAGTCAAAAAATAATAATTGAGAAAAAAAGCAATTATTTCCAATATATTACATGCACTGAATATGAATTAATAACAGGAAAGAATAATTATTTCTTCTGACAAGCTATTAATTTATATTCTATATCTGCGAGTGTTATATGCTCACTTTTTGGCTTAAGAGTTATTAGAAAAACATTTTAAATCCTATATCAAGGGAGAGATAAAGACTATAAGAAAACTTCTAAAAAAGTAAAGTAAAGCAGTCAATGTAGTTAAATGACATTATGTATCACCATAACCACCTTAGTAAAAATTGCCAAATTTTCAGTGTGCTCAATTCTGGCAACTATGTGCTTAAACATCCTTTAGTCAAACAGCATCATCATTTTTGGGTGAATGCTTTTCGTTGTATTCTAAGTTCTAAAGTTATGAAGTGATTCTGAAGTAAAATATATTAATATTTAATCAGCTATTCTAAGGTAATGTTCTTGAACTAATTTATTTTATAATATTTTTACACTTTCGTACTGAAAAATTCTTGAACAGGGAAGGAAGCTTCTATTTGTCAAAGTATACTTAATACAATGAAAATAAAACTGGTATTAATTCAGAAGTCAAAAAACAAAAATAAGCATTATATTTGCAAATATTTTCAAATTTTTCATGACAAGTTTCTATGGTTTTACCGAGCCATCAAGCTCAGCTGTCAAAGTGCAAATGAATAATATAAGATATAGTGATAAGATAAGAATGACTGGACAGGAGTTAAGCTGCTGGCACCATCTATTGAGGAAACAAGAAAACTAAAACAGAATTTCCTTAAAAGCTGAAAGTAAAGATGGATTGGAATTAGGGTCATTAACTAGAACAGAAAAAATTTTTTTAATGTGAAACACCTCTAGAAAATCTAATTCACCAATGGAAGATGTTTTTTGAATACCATATTTGATGGCATATAAGACGCACCCTTATTTAGAAGGCCACACACATGTAGATATAGAAAATGTTATGTGTGTCTAGACCTTTATCCGGGCTAAAAATAGCATTCAGTATTGAAGTTAACCTTGCCTTCACGTATAAGATGCAGGTAACTTTTTGAGACCAATTTAGGAAAAAGTGCATCTTATATGCCGTCAAATACGGTAATTTTGGCTGCAGAAAAATTGAAAGTGCGATTTTCAAACCAACGATGCTCGGCAACAGAGGACTTTGTTTTCCTTTTTCCTAACATATGCCACATTTTCCTAACGAAATGGGACTCTCTTTTTGAACCATCATTAACCACACTAGCAAGAATCCGTAATACTTACGAATTCATCATATCTGGAATGGGATCCTTGAGTATGGAACTCGAAATTTTATTGATAGGAGAATAAACGACCCAAAAGTTAAATTTCTGTAAAATATGTGCAATTTTAAGCTAACTGATGGAAAGAAAGGAACGGCAACAGAATTCTTATAATCTCCTAAACCAAGAGCGTGCATTTTGGTGTATTGAGATGAGAATTTTTTAATTGCCTGATTAATAAGGTTGGGTGAAAAGCCCCTGTCAATAGCTACTGCTTTTAAATAGTTTAGTTCTTGATCAAGAGCCAATTTAGAGGAGCAAACTTGAAGTTCACAGAAAACAAAATGAATAAAATGAAGCTAACTTTTGCTTAATCAGATGACATGATTTGGAGTGTGGTGGAAGGCAAACCGATGAAGGTGTATGGTAAACTGACATATCAGCCATGAGAAACCGTCTTAGTCCCATCTTGGCTGATAATCTATGTGCATTATTATGAATCAAAGTTATTTGAAACTTTAAATTCCCAGTATGATTCTGCTACATAGACAATACTTTGTTTGATGGTAATAAAGATGATTTAAATAAAGTTTTTTTAATAATGAATTCTATTGTTCCTGCTATTCAGTTCACTTTTGAACTTCAGATATACAATTCTCTTCCATTTCTCGGCATTTTAGTCACATGTAACACACCCAACTTCAGTACTACAGTTTACCATACACCTTCAACGGTTTGCCTTCCACACTTCAAATTATGTCATGTGACTAAACAAAAGTTAGCTTCATTTTATTCCTTTGTCTTCTATGCACTTCAGGTTTGCTTCCCAAATTGGCTCTTGATCAAGAACTAAATTATTTAAAAGCAGTAGCTATTGACAGGGGCTTTTCACCCAACACTAAAAGACAAACTCTTATTTTAGGAGATTACAAGAATTCTACTGTTATGCCTTCCTTCCCATCAATAAGTTTTAAAATAGCACGTATTTTACAGAAATTTAACTTTTGGGTCGTTTATTCTCCTATCAATAATATTCTGAGTTCCATACTCAAGGACCACATTCCGGATATGAATCCTGGGGTATTTACAGGAATTCTTGTCAGTGTGGATAAATTTACATTTGTCAAACTAAGAGAGCCTTAAAATTTCACATTAATGAACATGAGGCATATGTTAGGCAAAAGGAAACACAGAAGTTCGTTGTTGCCCAGCATTGTTGGTCAAAAATCACACTTTCCATTTTTCCACAGTCAAAATTATTCAAAAAACATCATCCATTGGTGAATTAGATTTTCTAGAAGCATTTCACGTTAAAAAAAATCTTTCTGTACTAGTTAACGACCCTAATTACAATCCATCTTTACCTTCAGCCTTTAAAGAAATTATGTTTTAATTTTCTTGTTTCATCAATAGATGGCACCAGTAGCTTAACTCCTGTCTAGCCATTCTTATCTTATTACCATACTTTATTTAATTCATTTGCACTTTGACAGCTGAGGGTGATAGTTTGTTAAAACCATCAAAACTAGTTCTGTAAAAATTTGCAAATATAAACGTTTATTTTTTGTTTGACTTCTAAATTACCATATATGCTCAGGTAATGTCTGCACTTTTTTACTAAAATTACACCACTAAAATGGAGGTACAGACATTACACGAGTCATTCAAATGTCACGCTTTTTCTCATGTGTAATTTTGGGTGTAAATTTCATTTCAAACAGCCAAGTTAAATTGTAAGTGGGGGAAAAAAAAAAGGCATAAGTAATAAAAGTATTAAATTTAAATTTGTTTAATAGCAACCTAAAATTTACAAACTTACTTTTTCCCATCCACAAACACAATACAAATTACCCCGTTTACGTTATCAACACTTGGCACGTATTAGTTCATACAGAAGCACAATATAGAGGCAGAAATTAACATTTGCAATTTTAATATTTACTTTTACACAAATTAAATAAAGCGTGTTCTTTTACTATCTTGCACACATTATTTTTTTAAAAAATTCTGTACTGACACACTGTATGAAAATCCATTCCGTTTCATCATTCTCCGTAACCAGCCTTCACTTACCTTAAATTGCAATGTAGGAATGTCTTCTTCTTGTGCCGCAGCAAGCGCTCTTATTTGGCACATTCGAACATAACGCAACTACATTTTTTTTTTTTTTTTAAAGTTCAGAAACTTACATTTCGAATTACGAAACGCACGTCTTGTTTTTTCGCTGCCGCCAGTTGATCATGCTGTGTGCTCCATATGCGCACACACTTTTCGTCCACCTTATATACTCTTGCTGCTGCTCTTTTTCCATTTTCCTGCACAAAATCTACGACTTTCAGTTTAAAAGCTGTATTTTCCCATTTCAAGCACGCTACTTGTTAACTACCACAAATTCCAAATGATACTATGAATGAAAAGAGAATATGCAAATGCTCCAAGATGGAAGGAGGGAAAAGTAATTTCATTACAAAACAGTATTTCCTGGAATCCAGCACGGTGAAAACCTGCTTGAACTGCCTTCATTTATTATCACGTCGCCATTGGTTGCGGCGCGAGTTCTGACATAACGCACCAAATGAGTCTCTGTTTTCCATCCTGGCACCAACCAAAGGCAAAACAAATGCATATTCTTTCTTTAAAGATGTTTATTGACTAAAAGGAAAAAGGCAATGTTAAAAAATCTGTAAAGTTGGGGTGCGGACATTACATGAGTGCAGACATTACACGATCGTATATGGTAATATTTTTTTAGCATGTTATTTTATCTTAATTCTAAAATTTATAGTTAATGTATGTACTATTGTATGGATAAACTTAGTAATATATCAATTATTGATACAAAAATTAAACTACTAAACACTGGTTGAATCTTCATAAAATCCTGGAAATGTCACTGAAAGATGAGACAATTAAGATCAAATAAAATTTAACAAGAAAAATATGCTGGAAACTATTAGGGGTGGGAGAATGAAATTCACAAAATTTAAGCATCATTAAATTAATAAACTTCATTTATTGCTGAGAAACATTTTCCTAAATAAAAATTAAAATATTGGATATTCACTAATCTACCAGAAGTCGCTATAGTTCATGCATACAGAAGGGCAATAATATTATTGCATAAGTAAAGGCTTTTAACCAAGCATCTTTAATGCTTTTTGGAAAGACTGCAACATTAAGTGAACACCTGAGGAAATTCTATTCCTTACTGATTAAATTAATGTCTCTCTTTTTTTTAACATTTGCTTAATTAATTTATATGTACTGCTAGATTTTTAATGTTTAAAATCCTGATTATGTATTAATTAATTGCACTTTATTATGGTCTATCTCAATGACAAATTTTACACTTAATTTTAGGAGCTGAACCTTTCAAACATAATTGAAGTCTCAGTTTTTCGTGAAAAAGGCACATAAATACGAACATAAATTCAAAAATATTTTAAAAGAGATTTAAAAAACAGTGCTTTTACCAAATTTATATAAACTTTAGGATGTCCAAGAGCTCCTCCACCACCATCGCACCATACAATTCGCTCTTTTACAGGCTTTGGAGGAATGGAATTGATCAAATCAATGGCAAAATGAGGATTAACCTATCAAAAAAATTACTGCATAAGTAAAGAGCATAAGTATTTCATTTAATCATATTATACAGTACAGTACAGAGTCTGAAATTCACTATCTGGACCTCTAGACTGCCCATAAGGAATTATATTCCAAAAGTATAATTTTTCTTTAGTATCTGCTTAATGCATAAGCAGTAGACACTTCTTCATAACAAAGTATATAAAGGGTCCTGATTCTTAATTTCAAATCAACTCTACACAAAACATCTCCATGTTGGAGAAACACAATCATTAATTAGCTTAAAAATACACAAAAATAATTTGTTAGCTCTGTAGCCACGTTTTTGCTTTACATACATCTCAGACTGAAACATTTACCAAAGTTCATCACTAATTTTATACCTACAGAATAACTTGCACTCTAACGCAAATCTGGTAATCATTTTTTCTTACTTTTTGCTTTCATCACTACGTAACTATAAATTTATGGCTGCTTGAGAATGACTTACGCAGCGATATCCAACTTTTTTTTAGTATTAGTAACTGAATACCAGGCAACACGATAACCTTTTATGTTGACACTAAACTTGCGAACAATTACAGACTTCAGCCAACTATACTGTGAATTAGAGTTGACAATTAGAACTGTGAATTGGGTTGAGAGGAGAAATTTAACAGAAATTTCTTTCCATATGTAAAAGATTATATTTAGTAATATCTGAATCAAGAATAACTGATTAATTATTTAGATAAGCCTTAAGCAAAGGCACAAAATAATGGTAATTATAATAACTAATATAATTCAAGCTTACGTTCTGCAGCATGTGATAGATGCAAGACAAAACTTAGCAGAACAACATGTTTAGTCATCAATCTTATGTTACCTTGTCTAGACATTAATCTTACGTTATTATATAATGAAGGCTAGCAATGCACACTGCTTAAAATCTGTAGTATAATTTTAAATGCAAAAATATCACTATCAGTTATGAAAAAAATTATAAAAAGGTTGCTCAGGATGACACGATTTGAAATGACAATTTAAGTGGGAATTCTCAACTCAGCAATTACAGAACTTGAACAATAAAATTTTGTAACTGAACAAGAAATTATGTGAAGTAACTTGCAAAAAATGGTTAATCAAGAAAAAGATAAATAATAGCCCCCCCTTTTTTTTTTGTAAATTTGGTTCCCTTATGATCATAAATACTTCATTTTTCCCCCTAAACAACTATTTCGTATTTTCTAATTTCTATGTATCATCTTACTGGATTTAAACCGATGATCTAAAATCCAGAATTGCCGAAGTCTCAATGAGTCTGAATCTCAGATTTTGTTCTGTACTCATTAGAGTAGATAATGCCAGATAATAGTGATAATAATAGTGATGACACTATTATCAGTGTTATAGTGTTGATAGTAATAATGATAATTGTGTAGACAATGATAATAGCGTAGACAACCTACTATATGTTTATTTAAAAGTGTCACAAAAGCAATTTTTCAGCCCTATTTGAACTCAGTTTGGCTAATCTTTGGAATATGGTATAATTTATGAGATAAAAGTTTACGGCTAATCTTTGGAATATGGTAACAGGTAGTTTGGCGACATTTTGGTAAGGCGATAAAAGGTTACTACTTAGGACTTTAGCAGTGTACATGGATAAAGTCAAGAGTGTGCGCAATGCCATTTTTGTGCAATTCTGGGATTTTTTTTAAGTGAAAATAGGTCGACGTGTAGATGGATGATACCGACACCTTGTATGTGCAATTCTTAAAAACTTGGCAAGCAGTTTGCGATTCTGCACTTTCTCCCAATTTCGCACCTAATCTTCGTCATGGTTAAGCACTTTTGTTCCATAAAAGTTCTAGCATAAACGTAATTCAGACTGTTGGAAAAAAATTTTGAGTAAAAGAAAAAAAAAAACATGCCTTTACTTCGTAAAAACAAAATGGCGTCCAAACCAAAACTAGCAGGTTGCTGTAGCAGGGTTGGTCGCCAAATTTTCGCCAAGTTACCATAATCCAAAGATTAACCAAGTTTACAATTGGGTGCCCCTTGTTTATTGGAGATTCTTTTTTGACAATAAGATCGGCGCCAGAAAGTCACAATTTCAAGATGGCCGCTACACAAAACCAAAATAAGAAATCGAAGAATTGCATAAGATCTGTGTCCATGTACACATCGATCTGTTTTTAGTTAAAAAACATCTAGATTGCACAAACTAGGATTGTGCACGGCCTTAAATATGTCCATGTACACATCAATTTTTCATTTAAATAAATGGGAAGCTAAAACAAAGTTTAAAAATCGTGGTAACCAGAAGTGAGGTTTCATCGCCAAAATTTTTAAAAAAATGTCACCAATCGAAGGGGCACCCAATTCTACACTAAAGCCCATATGATTACCTTGTAAGATCATATTTATAGATTTTACCAGAAATGAGTTAAAAGCTCGTTTATCACAAAATAATAGGAGAGCCAGGAAACTTAAAGGAAACAGCAATGCCCAGTTCAAAATGATACTTATGCATTTTATGGTCAATCTAGTTATAAGTACATTGCTTCGATGGGTAAAAAAATTACTTTCACGAATTCTTCAAGAAAAACGTATTAAATAATATATACACCATGAAAAAAATTACTTAATTCATAATAAAATAAAAAAATAGACATATTTTAATTATTTAAAGAGATAAATAAATTCTTTCCTAAGCTCAAATTTTCCTACACTCGTGCAGAAATATTCTGGTTTATAATAAATAAAGGACATGCAGCAAATACAAGGAAGTTACCTGTTTCTCTCTATCAAGGAAACGGACCATTCTTATATCCTCTTCATCAAATTTCTGTAAAGTAAAATTTGAAAATGTATTCAGAAAAGTTTAAAGTTAAACATGTACCATGAACTTTAAAATTTCAGCAATAAAATGATATATTGCGAATATCGAGATCAGTAGTAAAATATATATATATATATAATTTCTCAAAATTCGACAAATACCTGTCCAGTGTGAGTAATTTTATCATCTTTTGGCTTCGATATTACAAGTTTATTTGAAAGAGGATGAGAAAAACATTTAAAATTTGGTAAAGGTCGTAGCAAAACAAAACCTTTCGACAAGGACGTCGCCATGTTTTTTGTTTACATGCTACGGTTATCATCAGCCGGAAATTTACAGATTCCCTCAAGACACTTCAAATGCACCACATTAATTGATCTTATTACTTTACAAACTCTTAAAAAACTATACCTTTATAAAATTTAAATTACTTCTAATTTAAAATTATATTTAATGTAATTTAATAATATTGGTTAATTTATTAACTATAACTGACCCCAAGAAAAAGTAAAAATTTGTCTGTCTGTCTGTAACTTCTTTTATTTCCATACAAACCACTTTTTGATCTGAATTTTAATAATGATATGAAATTATTTTTCCTCTGGAACCGAACTGTCCTTTTGTCTTGATTTTTCGCCCAGCCAGCAGAAAAACTTAGTGGATGCAAAACGACAATTACCTCACCGTCTTCAACGTGGTGTTTGTGTTGTTTGTGGTGTATTGGAATACTTTTTTTTACTGAAAGGTTTTCTAGTAAGTAAATAATACATTTAAAAGGTCTTCATCATGAAACAATCATGTATTTATTTCATGTGTGTTTTGTTAATAATAGGTAAAAAATGTATGTGCAGTTAATTATAATAATATGCACTCCCTTGTCAAAACAGAATGCTTAAACAGAAGTATAAAAATGTGTGAGCGTTTATTTTTGCTGTTTCATTATCCAAGTATCAAATGGGAAAATTCTAAACGGTTTCTAAACCATTAGTTTCTTGTTAAATTTCACTTAATATTATAAATATCTGCTTTATAGTTAATTTTAGTTTTTTTAGTAATGAGGCACTGAAGTATTCAGATTCTGGAAGTGTGCCTAAATGAATTTTGAAGGAATATAAACATGCCGAGGATATTTTGAAAATTTTTCTTAAGGAGAAAAATGAATAAATAATTACTGCCTAATGAAATAATTTTATAAATCTTATATTGTAACAAGTTCATAATCCTACTAATAGAATTCCATATCTTTAGTAATTCATCCATATCATTATTCAGGAATTCTCAGCCTGCACATTTTTAATAATGGTGGTAATTCATTTTCATAGGATGCAACTGTATTATTAAATAATGAGTACATAAAATTTTCAAAAGTCAATTAAATATAGTTCAACACATTTTTATTGTATTTGCATATTTGAATTTATTTCTATTTTTGAGCTTTCTGTTTGAAAACATTTTAAATAATAAGAACATAAATACTTTGGATAAGTAAATAGGTCATATATTAATTTAATAAAACTATGAAAAAAATTCATAATATGTACAACAAACAACATGGACCATTTAACGAATTTAAAACCTCTGAAAAGTTAATTTTTTACAATATTCTTGCATTAAATCATTATAGTTTTAAAGCCTTTTTCTGCTTTAAATTAAAATACACTGATAATATAATCGAGACTACAGTGTAAAACTATTTATGTTTTATTCCTTATGAAGTAAAATTTGAATGAATTAGTTACAAGTAGACTTCAAATAATATACGTCTTGATTATTAAATGAAAAATTGACTTACAATAAACACTTCTGAGAATTATGTGCAATAGGCAATTTGTTTTTTTTTTTTTTTTTTTTTTTCCCATCCTGGTTGATTTTGTATAAAATATACGAATTATGATTCTTTTATGTGACCTTTTATTTCAGTGACATTGTATTGGGTCATATAAAAAGTCTCTGTGGTTTTTTGCCACTAGATGATGTTGATGCCTATGTATCCGGCAACACCCTCCCCATTGTCTCAAACAAACGTGCTTAAAAGGTGACATTCATCTTCTATTGTATGTGAAAATAGTTTTCTAATTAATTGCTCGTGTAAAACATATTGATTTGATAATGAGTGAAATATCTGAAGAAGTATGCTATGTGATGCTTTTTCACTATAAAAAAGGTAAGAACGCTGCAAAAACATGCCAAAAAATTTGTGATGTCTACGGTGAGAATGCTGTGAGTGAATGAAGGACCCAGGAGTGGTTTGCTTGATTCCGTTCAGGAAATTTTGCTCTCAAAGATGCACCTCGCTCTGTTCAACTAGTCACTGCAAAAGTTGCTGAAATTTTTGCAATTGGTGGAGCAAGACCAGCACGCAAGCTGTCAGAAACAGCAGAGGCACTAAACATCAACCACATGACAGTTTGGAATCATTTGAAACGAACGATGAGGCTACAAAAAGAAGCTTGATGTTTGCGTGCCGCATGAATTAATGCAAAAAAAATTATTGAATGACTTACCATCAGTGAAATGCTCCTGAAACACAATAAAATCGAACCATTTTTTAAGCGAATTATTACAGGCAATGAAAAAGGGCACAATACGAGAATATGAAATTCAAGCGATCATGGTCAAAGGCTGGTGACCCCCTTCCCCCACACACAAACAATTTCAAAGCCTGGATTGTCGCCAAATCAGGTTATACAGTCAAAAGTCATTAATTCGGACACCCATAATTCGGAATGATCTATAATCCGGTCTCAAAGCTAAAAACTTTCTGCGCATGCGCCGCGTTGACACATGCGCATAGGCGTTTACGCGTGCGCATAAGACCTAATACGACTGCACATATGAGTGTGCGCAAGCGCAGAATACATTTTCGCGTGCGCGTTTTATGTATAACGACGGTATAAGCTAAAATTATCTAATTATCGATTTCAGTTAATGTTGATGATTGCATTGTTCCTTAATTTTCGAATTGGATCCGGCTTATTATTTTTTGCAGACTGTAAGAGCAATACTATAAAAGTAAACTTGAACTTTCGATTATGTCAAATAGAATTTCCGATTCTGGAGCTCCCAAAGGATCGTACAAAACGAAAGTATGTTTCGATGTTCATCAAACAAAAAGTGGAATTGCTGCAAAAAAATAGATAAAGACATGAAGAATGTGACAAAGAGGTTAGTGAAAACGAAAAAATTTCGGTTGACAAGTTAGTAGGTATTCTCGGCACAGCAATTAACGGGACTTGAACAGCGGAACTTTGTAACTGAACAAGAAATTATGTCTGTTTATAGAATTAAAGAGAAAGTATTATCACATAAAACGAAGCAACTTACATTGAAAGAAATGTTTAATAAAATAAACAAATAAATATTAAGCTTTTTTTTTTTTTTGTTTGTAAATTTTGATACCCTTTAGATAATAATTGTTCTGTATTTCATAAATTACGGTTTCATATTTTTAATTTTAGAATTTCTGCATGCCATCTTACGAGATTTAAACTGATGATCTATAATTCGGAAAAATCGATAATCCGGAATCGCCGAAGTCCCGACGAGTCCGGATTAACGACTTTTGACTGTATTGATTTTGGTGGTATTGGAAAGGAAATTTTCATTATGAGCTGCTACAACCTGGCAAAATCATCAGTTCGGCCCTATACTGTGCACAACTTGACCATCTGAACAAAGCAATCCAGAAAGAGTAACCAGAATTAGCCAACAGAGTTGTGTTCTATCATGGCAATGCGCGGTCACCCACATCTTTGATGACTCAGAACAAATTCATGGAACTTGGTTGGGTAGTTTTGATGCATCCACCATATAGCCTGGACCTTACTCTAACTACCACTTGTCTCTGCAAAACTCTCTTGATGGTAAAAAAAATTAGCCGACTAAAGCACTGCTAAAAATCACTTGGCCAAGCTTTTTGGCGATAAACTACAGAAGTTCTATACTGATGAAATTATGAAGCTATCCGGAAAATGGCAAAATTTCATAGATGATATGGTCAATATGTACTTGATTAAAATTGATTTTCAATAAAGAAAATTTGGTACTTTTCCGTTTTGCCGGCGCAGGCAATAAAGTCGCCAATAATGGTATAACCGATGCCAAACGGAATATCCTCGCTGGTAATCTTTTACGTCTCAATGTCAAAACAAGTCGTAGCCATTTCTTATCAAATTTATTGTTTCTTTCAATACTGTCATACAATTACGTAGAATATTTACAAAGATAATTAAATTTTATGCCCTTCGCGGTAGTTAAGTCAAATAGAATACAATCACACTGCTCACCCGAAGGCAAAAATATAGAAAAGGCAAAGGCTTAAATTCATCCATTCTAATGAGAATACACTAGCATAGTAAAGCACTACGGTTTTACATAATTTCTGAGTAAGCTATTGTTACGAATTGAAATAATTCTTGCATTTAAACTTGAATTCCAAATTAAGATTTAACTTTAAATTAATGTAGATGATTAGATTTTTGTAGCGTAGTTACGTAAGATGAGATCACTCGGAGTCACGTGATATCAACCGACAAATCAGGATGTTGAACCATGAAAGCATATTAAATTCTTAAATTAATGTCTTTTACAAATTTATTGTCTTTATTTATTGGCTTTTCACAAAATTTAAAACAATAATAAAATGTTTGGGTCTTCAAAACAAAAAAAAATTCTTAGAACTAACATTTTTAACGTGTATACTGTGTGTTGTCGCCAATAAAGCCTGCTTGGCGAGATTTGTGCCGGCGAAACGGAAAAGTACCAAAAATTTTTGTTCAAAAATGTACCAAAAACCACAGAGACTTTTTATATGGTCCAATATAATAAATTTTTTGCATTAGTTTTCTTTATAATATTTTAATACTTTGTTTCTACTTTAACTGATTAATTATGTACTAATGTTATGTAAATTTTTAAAAACATTGTGTGTTCGTTAAAGGTGGTAAGTCATGGAAAGTTTGAGTGACACATCATTTAGTTCACTTCAAGAGAAAGTGTCGGAGCATACTCTAAAAGCAGTTGCTGACATGGGGTTTGATAAAATGACAGAAATTCAAGCTAGAACCATTCCACAGCTTTTAGATGGAAGGTAATATATAAATTAAAAGTTATCAAGATTAATTTTATTCATTTTAAAATAGATGCATGCAGTATTGATATATTTATAAAAATATGAATGATGAAAAATTATATAGGCAGCCTTGGTTGATATGTTGATGATCCTTTGGGTGGAGTAACTTTGTATGTTGTTGTAGACACAGAAGATAAAAGCTTTTAAATAGGGGAGGAATCCTTGTTTTTTCCCCCTTAAAAATAATAGCATCATTTCATATTCAGTGCTTCTGTGACAATGTATATTACGTTTTGATTAAACTGAAAAACCACTAGTAGAAAATTAGACAAGCTACTTACATGCATAGATCTCCATTACAAAGTTGCTTTATAACTTGCTGTATCTGATGCAAAATACTAATGTTGCTTAATTTCTATTGTGTAAGAGTTTTTGAAGTAAATTTTTTACAACAGCTGCCAGTATTATATACTAAACTGAAACTGAACGATTTATGAAAAATCCTCTTTGAAAGATTGCACCAATGTTGTTTGCAGTTGTGAAGCAAGAATATTTCCCACAAATTGTACTTCGTAAATCTATATTTAAAATCTGTAATTGTTAAGAATAAAGGCGTCACAAAATTTTAGGTACTTGCATATCATAATCGACCTTGAAATTTGGGGTATTGTTCTGTAGTCAGAACCAAATTCAGAAATGTGCATATATGCGTGTATGTATGGATGTATATATTCATGTATGCATGCATATATGTAAGTATGTATGTGTGTATACATACATTTCCGAATCCGGTCTCGATAACAGAAGAGTACTGAGTTAGCTACCATTGAATCATGAAATTTGAGAAAATCTCACTAGTGTTTCGTACAGAAACCTGAGCAGCGCTTCTATCTTCAGTTCTCACAATAAAACAATTGTCATTCTCTCTGCACAATCCACCAAGCTGCTGTGGAAATATTTGATCTCCTTCATATCTGTACTTTGTAAAAAAGCTTTCATTGGTTTCTACTATTTTGTTAAGCCGTCCGATTTTGTCAGAACATCTATTTAGAATATTATGAGTGTGAACTTTCCACTGGTAATTTCCCAATTTGTTACTGTTTTGTTGGTCTCATCCAGTTGTTCTTTTCCCCATTCATTGGGTGTTAATTTCTTGAGCAGCTGTAATCAGCTAGGCTTAAACAATGGAAGTTTGTTATTGAATAAGAAATTATGTCGATCTATAAACTTCTTCAGTATTAGGTATTAGAAAGTGTTAGCACAAAAATTACCACTACACAAAGCCAAAATAACAAGTCGAAGAATTGCATGTACTCGGTATTCATGTACACATTGAGCTATTTTCACTTAAGGAAAATCAGAGAATTGCACAAACGTTGCATTGTTTACTCCCTTGACTTTGTTCATATACTCATCGATTTATTTTCACTTAAAAAGTCAAAGGAGCAGCCAATTCTGCATTAAAACCAAACAAAAAATATATAATCTCAATAAACTACATTTTAAATCAAATAATGAAATAACACAAAAAAGGAAATTCATCTCAGCAATACACAAAGGAAATATTCACTTACCTTATTTAAAAATTTCTGTGTCTTCAGTCAAACAAAATTCTTTAACAGCATCCAAAAACTTTCTAAAATTATGTGAACTATAATCTGTATCCTGGCGTCGCCACATAAATTCACAAAAATATCCTCCGTAGTGCAGGTATCCTCCGACTATACGCATTTCCTTCGTACAAACAGGATACTTATAATGGCTACTAAGTAAATTTTGATGTACACACGAGTCAATTAATGCTTTATTCCCTTTCGTCTCAAATCGTACCAAAATTCAAATTAATTGGATACATTCAGCCATTTTAAAGTGTAAACCTCAAAGTAATCAACATACTTCCTAATCAACATCTAACATACAAACACGCTTGCAATTCTTTTTCCATCATTTAAATTCACTGCAATTGCACAACAAATTACGTCATAATAGTGTTTCCATAGCATTCAACTACTACTCGGGTTACGATAAATGAAACAGCAACTTCTCGATAATCCAAGGGGCGCCCTTAAATATACTCTAACCAGCTTTTTTTGTAAATTTTGATACCCTTAATAAATGCTTCATCATTATATATTCTTCATTTTTATAATTTATATATCTCATCTGACTGGATTTAAATGTATATAAAATCTAGAATCACCAAAGTCTCGATGAGTTTGAATCTAAGACTTTGTACTGTAATAATTAAAACAGAATACTTTTTATTTATAAAATTTGGTACATAGCATTTTTACCCAGTTGTAAAAGTCAGCTCCGTTGAGTCATGACAGCTGGCAGTAATCCTGCTCCAGCTGTGCCAACCATTCCTGTGTATTTAATAAACAATCACTATTAAACCCACATTGTTTTTGCACTTCGTTAAAAGGCAGTCATCAATTTCTATTATTTTGTTAAGCATTCTGATTTTATCAGATCTGCTTAGAGTGCTGTGAGACAAACTTCAGGTAACTGTTCCAGTTTATTATTATTTCATCAGCCAATCTTCTGTTTGATGTTCTTTAGAAGGCACACCCCAAATTTTAGTATTTAAAAAAAAATACAGCCATAACAGTTGATTTATATATTTTTTCGTAAATTTCGTTTATTGAGAATCAATCTATATTGTATCAAATGAAAGGACAGATGATATGAATGTGTTGTTACATCACACTTATACAGGGTGAAAAAGTGAATCTGAAAGAGTGGGCAGAATTTTATGGGATAATTGAATGTAGCTATACAAGCAATATTCGTCATAAAAAGTTTGGGCGAAACACAAATAATGAACCACCAGGTAGCATTGTAAATGGTATAAAAGGATCGTTCTTGCACCCAACGGCATTTTCTACTATGGATTGCCGAGAGGATGTCTGGTATTATGAACCACGAAATTTCCAGGGGGAGGGATTGGTTGAAGTGGTTTGTCAATTTCTCCGTAAATTTCACACCAAATTTTACAAAATTATTTTGGCATAACTAGAATCGTAGAATCGAAATATGAGGAAAAATAAGTATGTTATTTGAGAAAAAGTTTCATTTTTGTGTTAAAATACCTATGTTAGAACAATGCTTTATATAAATCTAATATATATCCTAAGTCGCACTTTCAACACATGAAAAATGCAATTTGAATTTCGTCAATTGGCTCAGTTGAACGGAAACCAGTTTTCCCTGCAGTGTACATCAATTGCATTCCTGTAAATAAAATGTTTTCTGAAGCATCTCCTGTCATTCTTGTGTTAATTCTTTAAATGTGATAGTGGAAAACTACCATTTAACTTCTCACAGCTTATGTTCCAACCATACATTGTAATGAATATTGCTTATATAGCTGTGTTCTATGACCCTTTGAAGTTTTGCCCACTTCTTCAGATTCACCCTGTATAATTGGCACTAAATTGCACTGCTTGGTGACAGTCTCACAGTTGACAAGATGAAATGTAAAAATCTGATATTTATATCTAGATTCAAGTCTGTTTAAGTTCTGTTTTCATTAACTAAATATATGATCTGTGTGGGATTTTTATTTGTGTTATAAATATGACTCCTTTTTTTCCTTAGAATATGTTCCATGAAAGAATCCATCTTTTTAGGATCACCTAATGAATACTTTTACTGTAATGTACTCCAGTATGTTAAGAAAAGAATTTTGAATTAAATATTCATCCAAAAAAGGGGTTGCTTGCACTTCAAATAATATGCATATTTAATAATCTAATTTTTACCTTACCTTATTTCTAGAACAGCTTTTGCTGTATAAAGTGTGTGATGTGGGCACTACACTTCTTCCTTGTATGACCTATTAAATTATACACATTTTTTGTTGCATTTTATTTAAACTTATATCCTTGAATTTCATTAGAGATACATTTCTCTTTCAATTAATTCAATTATCACTTGGCAGGAATGCAAAAATGCAAAAAAACTCAAAACATCTTCATTTAAAATTGCAAAGTAAAAGAAAAACCCCAAAACCAATTACAGTTAAAAAAACAATATTTACAGTTAAGATGTTCTACACAATTTGGCAAGTGAGCAGGAAGACATTTTTTGGTACATAAATTGAAAGTTTATTTTTGGTCTCACTCAGCAAAAAGACACTGAAGTTGGCACAAACTTACTTAATTTACTGTTTTACTAAGAGTTTCAAATGTAAACAAATGGCATCTTCATTATACTTAGCACCTCTTAAAACTTTTAAACTGTTGATAATTTTACAACTGTTGCATGCAGATTAAGTAAAGGCATAAAAACCTTAACTGGAACAAAAGAACAACATAATTCATTCACTTTTAAGGGGGAAAATACACATTTCATCAGCATATGAGAATAAAAGAAAGGGGCTCGCCAATCCAGGTGACAGGGTGGATATATATATATATATATATCTGATGATGTAAATGAACTAAAACTCAGACAGCCAATAATAATTTTATAGCAGTATTAATTATCGAATCAAAATGCATTGAGAAACAAAATTAACTCAGGCTTAATTAAGATTTCACCCTGAACATAACACACTTGCTCGCTACACTTCAGCCTAGCTGGACTGCTGTCTGCTGCTTAGTTTTCAAAAATGTAAACCTCTTGAAATAGGCAAAAATAATGTGCCAAGTTGTTTGGAGCTGCAATATGTTTACTGAAAATAAAATGAAGATTTAATGTGCCTCGGCTGCAAGTCTTCTATTCATTATGTATCAACATTTCTACGCCATCAAAATTCCTGCTGTTTATTACATCTACGTTTGTTTCTGTTACATGTCTGTCTTTGAGTGTCATCTTTCTAACTATGCAGTAAAGCCTCTTCCAAGTTATAATGCAGAGAACCATCGTCAATCCATTGCAACTTTCTTTCTCGCCAAGTTATCTGATTATATATATGTAAATAACTATATATGTTTGGTGTGACCAATTACAAATAAAAACAGATTTGTGCAACTACATGTTATAGAATACACAAAATTTCAACATTCTAAGGTTACTTGTTTTTGAGTTATGCTAGATACATACATATGTACATATATGCGGATGTCATGAAAAAAATCTTTTGTGATTCCATTTTGGGGGAAAAAAAAAAAAAAGAGTTCTTTATTCTGTCTCTGCATACAGATATCATGCAGAAACATTGTTCAAATGGATTTGAGATTTGTCAAAATAGATATTTTACTACCATTACAATCCATTTTGGAAAGAGTCCTTTATTGTGTCCATATGTACAGATGTCATGCAAAAAACATTGTTCAGATGGATTCCATATTGGTCAAAATGGATATTTTCGTACCATTACAATCCATTTTGGAAAAAAGAGTCCTTTATTCGGTCCATACTTGCAGGTGTCATACAAAAACATCATTCAAATGGATTCGAGATTGGTCAAATTGGATATTTTCATTGAAATATGATACCAAGTTTTTTTTTTTTTGCGATTACAATACTTTCTTTACTTCGTACAAGGAAGTAAAAATGCAAAGTAAAAGCTTTTAATTATTATGAATACATTAATGAAATGTACTCATTTTATTATTGGATAACTTGGATATACATTATTTATTTTAATATTATAGGGATGCTGTTGTGTCTGCTAAGACAGGCAGTGGAAAAACTTTGGCGTTCCTCATTCCAGCTGTTGAACTAATGTACAAGTTGAAGTTTTCTGCAAGAAATGGAACTGGAGTTTTAGTAATCTCTCCAACTCGTGAACTGTCTATGCAAACATTTGGAGTTGTGAAAGAACTTTTAAAATACCATTCCCATACACATGGCTTGGTAATGGGTGGTGCGAGTAGACAGACTGAAGCTCAGAAGCTTGCAACAGGTGTTAATATACTTATTGCTACTCCTGGAAGACTTCTTGATCATCTGCAAGTATGTTTACACATGAAAATTAAATTATTTACATATTTAGTGTTTAAGTTTAAAATTTTCCATTTTGTAATAGCTCAAAAGTATATTTCTAATCTGTTACAAAAATATGAGTTTATAACTACCATGATTTAGAATTTGACTGTTGTAGTGAAGAAGGGATTAAATAGTGTTAAGAATTTTTTATGTAGATAGATGATTGCAGTGAAATTGCTGTATTTTTACGTGTAATGTAACACAAAAAAAAGTAAGAATACAGGGGCAAGTACATTGAGTAAATGGCTACCTCGGTAATTTGACAAGCTATCACCAAACTGACAACAGTTTTGGCAGCCATTTGATGACATTTTGGTCCGGTCCCTGCATCACTATATAGGTATTGTAATTGATCACTATATTAGTTGCAACTGTAATTCGACCCTCATCTTGCTTTGCAGTAATTTCGAGAAGCAGAAAGTACTAGAAATAACTTCTTGGTCAATTGAAAACTGTATAGGACCAGAGAGAACATCTGCTCTGTTAAGTTAGTTGCTTAGTTATTGTCATTGCAAATTGTTAGTTCAGCATGAAATGAGGTATATCCAAGTTAGCTTTCTCTTTAGATGCGCTTTTCATTGTGTAGTGTTTAACGTTCTTAGTAGTTTGAAGTGTAATTACTGATTGTACTCTGTGATATTGTGAACACCTGTCCAAGAATTTCTATGGAAAATTCCAGAACTTGAATTGTTTCTTTTGATAAAAATTAATTTTATTAACCCATCATCTGACCTACATGCATTCAATATATCACGAACCCATAGGCACACCATATAATTCACTTGAGCACTGTTATTTACATTTATTTAAACGGTATAAAATTTAAGACAATTACTAAAACATTTATTTTATTTTATTTTATTTTATTTATTTATTATTATTTTGGATTTTCAAATGAAAATCCAGTTTTGTTGATAATTTAGTTAGAATATCATGATATTTGAATGTGAAATCTTGTATGAATTGGACAAAATAAATGTTTAGAAGAAATAAATTATTCTTAAAATAAGTAGAATGTCTCGCAGATATTTGAAAGTATGTAAGTTCATTATCCATTGCAGTTCTGCCAAATTCTAGATAAGAAATAAGGGATCTTATATTGTCTAAGATCGTCTTAAGTAGTCAAAATGTGTTATACAATAATGTGAAGTTAAAAAAAGATATTGAAATAATAAGACAAAAAATAAGCAGAAGACGAGGACATTACTTATTTTATATTTAAATATATTCCTTTTGCATTTACATGAATATGAGCCAGTTTCCCTTAGAACGCCCTCCATGAAGGCATTCCTTCCTTTAGGCAGATAGCCGTCATGTGCTTTGCTGTATTCTAATAACTTAACCGTAACTGAAGCTTTTTGCACTGATTCAGCAAGTAGCATAATCTAAAGCTTTGCAATGACCTATGCAGTCTTTTTGTGAAATTTGTTGCCTGAAGATTTGATGTCAAAGTTTTTTACATGTCCTTAACATCATTAAAGAAGCCTTATTTCAGTAATAACTTTAATTTTGGAAGTGAAAAATAGTTACAGGATGATAAATCTGGGAGAGTGAATCTGGGTGATTTAATATGCATGTTTTTGAGCAAAACTTTATGTACAAGGGTAAGTTGAAAAATAAGTTTCCCCTGTCGACTGTGGTCAGAGTTGTGTATGAAAGTCAAAAAATAGAATGAGACATTAAAGATATGACATACCTTTATTTTTCCACATAGGTACCAAGTACATTGAAACATTTGTCATATCGCTTGATAAGCTTCAAAAAGCCCTCCAGGAAAAAATCAGGGCTTTGCATATGGAAGAAGCATTGAACGGCTTGTTTCACTTCAGTATTGCTTCCAAAGCGCCTTCCCCCGAGATTTTTCTTCAAAGCCAGAAACAGATGGAAGTCGCTTGGTGCGAGATCAGGACTGTATGGCGGATGGTGTAGGCGCTCCCAGCCAAGAGTTGCAATATGGTTTTGCTTTGCCGTCGCCGAATGTGGTCTGGCAATCAACAGCAGAAGGGCAGATGTGAGAAGGCCAGGCCGCTTTTTCCGAATTGCCTCTTTCAATTTCGACAGGGTGTCACAGTAGCGCGTAGCATTGATGGTTCCAACCTCCAAAAAGTCCAGCAACAAAACTCCTTGGGCGTCCCAGAAAACTGTGAGAAGCACTTTACCTGCAGAGGGAGTTGTCTTGAACTTCTTTCGGACAGGTGATAACGGATGTTTCCACTCCATAGATGCGGTCTTCGATTCTAACGTGAAATGGTGGACCCACGTTTCATCCCCCATCACAATCCGAAACAGAAAGTCATTGCCATCTTCATGGTAATGCACGAGATGTTCCAGGCTGACCCCCCCATGCATTGTTCCTTTTGTGTCGAGGTCAATTGTTGGGGCACCCATCGTGCTGACACTTTTCTGTATCGAAGAATGTCATGGATGATGTTTTGAGCTCGCTCATGTGAGATTCCAAGTTCTTCCGCTACTTCAACGATGGTGATACGCCGGTTCGCTCTAATCATGTCATCCACCTTCCTGACATTTGCATCTGTAGTGGCCGTGCGCGTCTGTCCAGCTCTCGGTATGTCCTCCACTTGCTGACGTCCATCACTGAATGTGCTACACCATCTCCACACCATTTGCTTCGACATCACACCTGGCCCATAGACTTCCACGAGGCGGTTATGAATTTCTGTTCCTGATACTCCACGTGCCCATTCATAGCGGATAACCGCTCTCACCCTCCTTTGACCACGAATTCAAAACGCACCTTCTCTCCATACCTACCTGGGCTCAAATGAGAGGCTGGTCTCCGCTTTGCGCAGGCACTGCAACAGTGCCATCTGCTTGATTTGCAGTGACCTCTACCCAATGGTGTATCGGTGACTTGCGTGTTTTCCTGCTGTGTCGCTTTTCGCCCATAACCGTTCAACGCTTCTTCCATATGCAAAGCGTGAATTTTTCTTGGAGGACTTTTTGAAGCTTATCAAGCGATATGACAAATGTCTCAACGTACTCGTACGAGAATAATAAAATAAAGGTATGTCATATCTTTAATGTCTCATTCTATTTTTTGACTTTCACACACAACTCTGACCACAGTCGACAGGGGAAACTTATTTTTCAACTTATCCTCATTACTATTGCCCAATGAACCAATACATTACGAACAAGAATTTGATTGCTAGATGATAGCTTCTTGGATCAGACTTTGAGAATCTTCTTCTATAATAATTATATGTGCTAATAAAGTACATGAATAAAAGTTAATTTAACATTTTGCCTCTTGAAACGAATTTGTGTAAAAATATATTTCAGGTGCCCCTGAGCAAAAATTGGCGATTGGCCAGCAAGGTACAATTTCAAGATGGCCACTACACAAAACCAAAGTAATAAGTCAAAGAATTGCACAAACTCAGTGCCCATGTACACACAGATCTATTTTCACTAAAAAAAAAAAAAAAAAAAAAAAAAAAAAAAAAAAATCAGGAAATTGTTAAAACTAAGCATTGTGCTCTACCATAACTTTGTCCATGTACACATCAATCTGTTTTCACTTCAAAAAAATCAGGAGAATTATAACTTCATATAATGTTAAAATGAAGTTACTCATCACCAAAATTGAACAAAATTTGTAGCCAATTGAAGCTCAATAAACTGCATTTAAATCACACAGTGAAATAACATAAATAAGGAAATACATGCATATACGCACTACAAAAAGGAAATATTGACTTACCATATTTAGAACTTTCTCTGTCTTCAGTCTGTGGCACACAAAATTTCTTAACAGCATCCAAAAATTTTCTAAAATTATTTGAACTAGAATATGCATACTGCCGTCACCACATAAATTCACAGAAATAAGAGTCAAAACTTTCCTCCGTAGTGCTGGACTGACTGTGTGATTTCTTGCATGAATCTTTCTTATGACAAATTCATTCAAAGCCATCTGAATGATCTTTACATTCAACCACACACATTTCCTTCGTACAAACAGGACACTTATAATGATTACTAAGTAAACCTTCATTTACGCACCAGTCAATTAACACTTTTCTTTCGTTTTCATTCCAAATCGTACAGAAACTTCAGATTAATCTCATCACATGCAGCCATTTTACGGTCTAAAGCACAAAATAAGAAACATACTTCCTAACTGACATCCAACGCAGAAATAAGCCCTTACGAATATTTTCCCATCAGTCAAATTCACTGCAGTCACACAACCAATCATGTTATATTAGGGTTCCCATAACATTCAATTACTCAGGTTACCATAAATGAAACAACAATTTGGCAATGATTTAAGGGGCACCTTAAAATTTAGATTAATCCGAATTTGTGATGGATGATTTTTTTATCTCGTCTGTTCTGAACAGAACTTGAATATCCAGACATTCAAATTTTCTTCTTATTCTGTTTATCATCAATCATTTCCACATGCCTTTTAAATTGTGCATGTCACTTGAATATCAGGGGTATGAGGTAGACAATTATTTTTGTACACCCATAAGTTCAATTGTCTCGATAGTATCTTTTTTGAGTTTAAAAATGCAAGTCTGTGTTTGATCTGTGTTACATATGTAACAATGTTCTTTCACTAACTGAGTGAAATAGTATTGTAATTCCTATTGCATGGAATATTTCCAGTTTAAAAATAAAGTTTGGACATTTGGTTGACATTCATTGCTTCAACAATGGTACTTTTATTTTGGATGCATAAAATTAAATCTCATTATTTGATTGTCAGATGATGTATTGGTGCATCAGTTTAATATCTAATACGAGTGATGCTTAATTTTCCTTACTAAAGTCTTAAGTTGATTTTTGTTAACTGTAATCTCTGTAATGCATAATTATACTTTTACTTACAGAATACGCAACAGTTTTTATATAAAAACTTACAGTGTTTAATCATTGATGAAGCTGACAGAATCTTAGACATAGGATTTGAGGAGGAAATGAAAAATATCATCCGTATTTTGCCAAGTATGTTTACTTCCATGCAATTTTAAATTGTTTTGTGTCATATAAAACTTTGAAAAATGTCATATATATCAAACATCAGAGAAATTTTGTTTTGTATTTAATTATAAACATGTTTACTATTTAAACAATGTATTAATCTATGGGTTGCCTTTGTCATGGTAGGTTTTTGAATTAACCTTAATCATTACTATATAGAAATTTTAATACATTTAGACTTTGTGTGTTGTTGTAAGAAATTATACTGCATTATCAGCAGAGGGATATATTCAAAAATATTTATATTATTTAACAAAATCTGATTTTTTATAAAATGTATATATTGGTAACAATTGGTAGTGTCAAGATGCATTCTGAAATGAATGTTCACATCATTTAATGCTATTCTTAGACGAGGTCATTGTATCTTTAAACAGCATACTGGCATCCAGCAATGCTGAATTTCATTAGATTGCTGTATAATATTCTTCTGTTCTTCTTTATAAAACTAAAACTGGTGTTTGGAATCTACAGAATCTAATCATAATTGAAGTTTCATCTCTATTAGGGAGGAATTTTATATTGGTGAATGTTTTCAATATGTATGATTAGCAATATAAAAATTAGACAATTTAAAATCCTCAGTATTAATTTCATATGCCAAGAAAATTTAAGACAACTAATACTGATAAATCTTTTGTCACATGATACAAAATAGCCACTACAGAATGCTAAAAGATTGCCAAGTGCAGGAAAATTGATTTTAATTATTAGGTTGTCTTTTTCCAGATAATAATGACAGACGGTACTGATTCTTGAGGTATAAAATGCAAAATCTAAGACTTTTTGTGTGCAGAAGGAAGAAGTTATGTGTTTAAAAAATAAAACTATTAAAAAAAATGTCTTTTTTAAATAGCTGGTGTTCCTAAAAAATGTATGTCACTGATTAAGAGAAAAATGAAACTGCCATCTCGCTATTTTGAGAATTGATACAGTATTCAATTTGTTATACTTCAGTAAACCTCTCTCTTCCTGAATTGTGATACTCATGAACAGACAGAATATTCTGCATTTTATATATTTGGCAACTTCTATTAAAAGGTAGTTATGCTGATGTGGAAATACTGTAAGTGGAAACCCAATTCTTAAAAGGCTTAGTTTCTTATAATATGCATAAATTTGGATTTCATAAGTGTCTGCATCTTTTGCACTCACTAAAAGTTACTTCTGTGCTTTAGTCTACAAATTTGCAACTGAACTGCAACTATGAAACATATAATGTACCTGGATTCTATGATTGGCGGCATAAGGTTTGTGTCATTTTTCTCATCTTTAATGTAAATTTGGACCAGTTGCCTTTATAAAGTCTGTCATAAAGCTATCCCTTACTTACAGTAGATGGTCCTTTTGTGCTTTGTTGTAATGAATCTAATTTATAATATTATGTTTGCATCAAAGCCTATACATGCAAAATTAAGAAAAAGTTATTGTTAATTGTTTAGTCATTTACTGGAATAGTATGATAAAGTAATACATTCGATGCATTGTTTTTAATCAAATAATCTGTTTAATTTCTCGAGTAAAAAATTCTAGTTATATTTGTTATTGTAACAAGTCTGATTTTTGTGAATAAAAATTATTTATAAGGAATATAGAATTGTTTTGAAAGATAAATTTTTGTCCTTTGCATCATTTATTATCTTGTCACCAGTTTAAAAAAGAACAAATTGTTAAAAAATTAATATACAGAAATTATTCAGTTATGTTTAAAAAACTTTTATCAGAACAAAAAAAAAAAAAAAAAAAAAAGTTCTGATAAAAGTTTTTTTCCTGAACTGTTAACTTTTCCTTATTGTTTCTTGTATGAGATAGAATCTCAAATTTTGCTCGTAAATAAAAATTTTATAAGGAAAAGTGTGTGCCATGTAAATATTCTTAAATTCAAAAACAGTTCAAAAATAAATTAAAGCTGTAAAGGTGATTATAATACAATCTTCTTATTTATATAAATGTTTATTCCATGTTATGATGAATCCCAAATTCTCATAATTACACTAAAACCACAGTATAGAAATCGGTTAAATCCTGAAGTTGACATATTAATTCAGTTTAAAGCGCAATTTGTTTAATCAGGTTGCATGATAGAATTATAGTAAGAGGAAAACATAAATTACACTGATGGTTGCCACATTTGACAACATCCATTCCTCTGGATAAAATAATTACATTTTAAATAAGGAAATTAGTAAAATTGAATGATTGAAAAAATAAATAAAACATTTAAAATCTTTCACATTTTATATTATGCCCAAAGGGTCCCCTCCCCATTTACACACACATGCATGTTTCGAGAGTATCTGGGCAATGCCTCTTTGGGCTAAAAATATTTAAAAACAGCTTATCTTTAGAATTTTCCATAGCCAGTCTCATGTGCTGGTGATAAATATATTTTATTCCATACAGTGATGTCACTGCTTGATTTCAGATCGTTGAGTTTTTAATAAAAAAATCGATTAAAGTTTTACAGAATATGAAATAGATAATGAAGCAAATTCAAATTTCATGTATCCAAGTACCAGTATTCGGGTGGAGAACTACATTATTCAGAATTTGATGGCTGTAGGTACCGTTGTTTTTTCAATGGCGAAAAGTATACATACATTCATGCAGATTCTTTATTAATTAACTTCTTTAAATATAATATAGGGTAGTAATATTTGCTGTCAACAACTTGAAAAGTCATTTGATGCAGAATGCCATTTTGAAACTCTAAATAAACTCCTCTAAAAAGGTAGGGTGTTTTGTACTTTGAAATAATTTTTCAAGATTCCAATTACACAAGCCAAAGTAAGATGTTTTCCAGTTTTCTTTATTTAATATTTTTCCAAATAAATTAAAATCAAGTCTGAACTGACTTTTAAGAAATATGCATCAAATTTGAAAATATATATGGCATTCTTTTTTTCTGGTTTTATAGAAGTGAGGTCCATATATAATGTGAAAAAAAATGAAATAAATGTCATGTACATTTGTAGATATTAATTAAATAGTTGTCTTTTTATTAATAACAAGCATTTGCTTCATTTTAAATTTAACAAGATTTTTCCCCCCCACAGAAAGTAGACAAACATTGTTGTTCAGTGCTACTCTTACAAAGAAAACAGAAGATTTAGTAAGAGTTGCCTTAAGGAATCAACCCTTATATATTGGAGTTGAAGATCAGGAAGAAAAAGCTACTGTTGAAGGTCTTAAACAGGTATGACATGAAGGGGGATTAACTTCTGATCAAATCAATGGATGTGTGTGGGGAAAAGTTATTTTTTTAACTCATCATGCTTCATTTAAAACGAAAGTTACAATGATATTTATATATTCCGGAACTTATGTTATCTGGAAAATGAATATATGAAAACTGTTGTGGGATTTTATGTTGTTATTTAAAATAATACTGATGTGTAGCTTTTATTGCTTACTCTAAATCAGATTTAGACTAGGTTTAATTTATTGAAAATAAGCTTTAGTCCTTATCCATCCAAGTGTTTGACAGGATGGTTGGCATGACATAGTTTATTTCCTGTTCAGATTTTAGTTTACAGATGATATAGGTATATTGCACAAGTGTGCAAAAGATCTTTAAGGTGACCTGGAAAAAAAAATCTAGTGGCAAAAAAATCAGGTGATTGCAGATGCCAGCTATGAAATGCTAAACCCTGCCAAATCTGGCATCCAGGTAACTGGGTATTCAGGAAGTCGCAAATCTGGTTTGCAAAATGTGGCAGTGCTTGTCCTGTTGAAAAAAATGGTACTTGGAGGAAGCTGAAGCATGTTAAAAATTCCATCATGCCAAGATAAATTGCTCAGATCACTCTGCTTCGTGAAGAAGAATGGATGTATGATCCTTCCTTCATTATGCCACATCATGCATTTACTTTTCATGTGCCATAGTCAGTTTCACAAATCACATATTGCTTTCCATGATTCATCTGGCAACTGTGTGTGAACTTTCCAGTAATGTAAAATGAATCTATCTGAGAAATAGCTGCATCAGTGGCCAAGTGATTATGACTGCTGAATATTTTAAGGTCATTCTGGATTCAGTTCAAGAAGAATAAGCTGTCTACATAGTTAGTTTTCATGGTTTCACACGTTTATATAGAGAATAGGAGTTTGTTTCTCTTTGAAAGTCATTCTTGAAGATTTCCCGTTTGACTGATAGCCATTGTATGCTTTGCTATAGCTTAATAACCTAACCTAACTTCACCTGAGAAATTTGAAATTGTTAGGAGTTCTTCATCTTATTCCATTTTCAATAACATGAATTCAGCAAATGATTGTTTTTTCTGTTTGTCACTGATTTAGATATACTGGTATATCTGAATCTTGTAAGCCAGTGGTTAGCTTCCCTGGGCCACATGAGATGACATATTTTGGGCCATACAAATTATTTCTAATGCCAGTGATAGCTCATGATCTCAAATAAGTGAATCACACAGTTGCGTAGGTTTCATTGAAAATTCTCAGGTTTGACCACTGAAAGAAATCTATAGGCTGTGTTATAGGAAATGTTATAGGCTTTCAACATACATTACATTTTGCATTACATTTGTACATTACATTTTGCATACTGGAACAGGAAATTAGAAGTTTGTCACTTGTTTTTTCTAATGGATTTTCTTGGGCAACTCAGGAAAGTAATGCCAATTCTTTTCACATTGCCATCAGATATAGTATTTTTTTAGTTCTTAAAGAAGATTAAGTTATTTGAATATGGCAAAACACACTTAAGATAATCTGCCCAAGGGGAAATATGCCTTGGTGAAGTACTGGAAACTGGCCCATATTCACATTTCCCATGGGGAAAACCATGAAAATCAACCATGCAGCCAGCCTGTTTGCCTGGGATCAAAACCAAGTTGATTTCCCAGTATTCAACAGTTTTAACCACTCAGTCATTGGCAAAGTGATTCTTAAAGAAAGATGAAGTCCTAAGGCATCTCTCCTACCAGTGGCCGACTGGATAAGATTGGGAAGTTCGACCATGAGTTCTATTCCAGGTGAACAGGCTGATTGCATTTTTTATTTTTATCGTTTTTTACCACATGTAACATGAATATGAGCCGGTTTTCTTGTAAAAGATCTCCACAAAATCTTCCCTCCATTTAGGCAGGTAGCCCTCATGTGCTTTTCTGGATTCAAATAAATTAACCTAACCTAAAATTTGTAACCATTATTTAATTAAGATAAGCAATGAAATGCTACTTAAAAATTTTCATTCTCAAAGTATAGTCCATTTAAGAATTTTATATATTTATTATGCAAATGTTTATATTTTCTATACAAAACTTTATTCTTTTTTAGGGTTATGTTGTGTGCCCATCTGAAAAGAGGTTTCTTCTTCTCTTTACATTTTTGAAAAAGAACCGTAAGAAGAAAGTAATGGTTTTTTTCAGTTCTTGTATGTCTGTAAAATACCACAATGAACTTTTCAACTACATCGACTTACCTGTCAGTTGTATACATGTAAGTTATGTTGATACTTTTATTTTTAATTATACTTTTTAGTAAAATGTAGTGCCATTATGAATTACTATTCTTGGTATTAAACAATTATACTCTTTTTCTTGACTTGAGTGAAAACATTGTCAAAATTAATATTGTATATATTTTCCAAGGTTTCAGTAATTAATGCACATATCTTTTTTAATTTACTGCCTTTAACAGCTCCTTCGTATTGTATTTTATCTTTGATTTTACTATTAAAGTAATTGGTCTTTTGTTCCTCATGTATAATAATGTAATCATAAAATAATATGAATAGTTTTCAAAGAATTTAGTGAATAATTTACTTATCTTTCAATTTATCTTAATAAATTAAAATTTTCTGTGTTTAAATTTCATGATTTTCCTTCTTGTATTAAATGTAAATTAATTTCTTTGATTCATAAAAATAAATGGTATGGGGGTATGTTCCTTCGGTATTAAATTCCTCGTTCTCTAGGTTCTTCTCATCATTTTTCAGCTTTAAATAAAATTTTGATCATTAAAAGTGATTAAAACTACAGTATCATGGTAACTAAGCATGGCTTTGAGTAGTAAATAAGAACATGACCTTAGTAAAGTGAAAAATTATATCACTTAAATAAATTTAAAAATTAAAGAAAGATTAGAATAATTTAACACTTCTGGAGTATGCAAACATAGGTATAATTAGTTGATCTTAATACAGCTACACAAGTGTTTAAATTACTGAATAATTAAACTAGTTAAGCTATATAGGAAATATTTATCCATTAAAGTCATACTTTTTTTTTTTGTGTGTGTGTGTGTGTGTGTGTGTATCATTGCCTTGTTTCCACAGCATCTGGTGTCACTGGTTTGCTTTTTTCCAGGCAGTAATCGTCTTTATAACTATCACTCATGTAATGACCATTACTAACATTTTCATGTAATCAGTAGTTTGTATGTATAGTTTGGTTTGCTTCTTTCCAGGCAGTAATTGTCTTTATAACCATCACTCATGGGAGGAGTACCGTATTTGACGGCATATAAGGCCCCGTTGAGACGAGTGCGTAAAGGGCATAAGTGGTTAAAGCCGAGCTCCGTTGCCAAGGCAACCAGTCTCTGCTACGTCACAAAATCTGGTTTAGTGCTCGTGGCATAGGGTTCAACGTTTTCAATTTTACAGCGAGTTTGGGATAAGCGTCGACCAATCAGAGCAAAGGTAAAACGAAGCGGCTTTCTTTCAGCAATTTCGCTGTCACATCGAAGGCGACGTTTTTTTAATATGGAGTACATCGTATCCGAATGAAATAATGAGTGCTCCCAAGAAATCTACGATGATGACATGCATTTTTTAATGCATTTCTTAATGAGCTTTTCCATTTATATTGAAAAATATGGATTTAACTCGTAAAGCGAAAGTTAAGCTCAGGATTATGGACGCTGTGTATGATCCTGTAGATGATTGATCCCATCCAATATTTTTCATTTTATTATGAAAATTCTTTAAAAAAATGCATGTTTGCAAAAATTTTATTTTTTCTATGCAAATTATTATTATTGCTTTCTTTCTGTTTATAATTACTATCGTTTTTCCTGTTTAATCCTTTTTGTATTTAAGAATAAATTTATTGAAAAAGCTGGAAATATTGTATTGCTATTTGCTTCAAATGCTGATTTTCTTTCCAAACAAACTTCATGAATTAATTTACTAAAACATCAAATCAATATCAAGAATCTGCTGTTTTTTTAACAGTAAAAATATTACTTTAAAAAAAAAAAAAAATTATTTTCACTTATTTAAGAATAGTCACAATAGTCAATTCAATGGTGTAAGCTTTGTATAAGTAATAAAAGATTAATCTTTGAGAAAATGCTCTTATGAATTCCAAGAAGGAAAAAATGTAGTGAAATATCCTTAAAAACAGTCAACAGTCTAGACAGTTTTGTCTCCTGTTGTTGAAGTTCTGTCCTGTTTTTTAATTACTTCTCCATGAAAGGAATTTACTTTTAATGAAACTGAATAGCACACATAATTCATAACATGGACTATAATTTAATGAATAGTATTTATTATTATTATCCACCTCTTTATACTATCATTTGAATGGAATTTTGATCATTTAAATTCATGCTTTTTTTCTGGTAGAAATTCCTGGATAAGGTATGAATGTTTATAATTTTGATGTATTTGAAGACTTGGGTACCTAAAATTTGTCAATGTGAAATTACTTTTGAGATTTGGTCGTAAATAGAAATGACAGCATATGTTGAATTAAATTCAGGGGTGCGGCTTTATACATGCAAATTATTAGAAATAGGTGTATACAAACAGCTGGCAACACAGCAAAATGTATTTAATGATTGAGCATAAAATACATTGTTGGTTGAACGTTTCCTAGTATTGTACTAGTTGTGGTTGCTGGTCATTGGTGACCAGTTGTGGGATACTAGTTCTAGTGATAATTGATACTTGGTAGTGCAGCCAACTACTATAGTGATCGACAGTGACAGTGAATAAGGAGTGCTAAGCACACATGTTTCACTGTCACAGAAACATGTTCCTTTTGATTGAAAATTATAAAATAATAATAATAATAATGTATGGTAAGTACTGTTTTTAGCTTAACTGCTTTCACACCTGCAAAATGGAAAAATTACAGTCAAAAGTCGTTAATCCGGACTCGTCGGGACTTCGGCGATTCCGGATTATAGATAATCAGTTTAAATCTGGTAAGATGGCATGCAGAAATTACAAAATTAAAAATATGAAAGCGTAATTTATGAAATAAAGAACAATTATGATCTAAAGGGTATCAAAATTTACAAAAAGAAAAAGCTTAATATTTATTTGTTTACTTTATTAAACATTTCCTTCAATGTAAATTGCTTCGTTTTATGTGATAATACTTTCTCTTTAATTATATTAAACAGACATAATTTCTTGTTTAGTTACAAAGTTCCGCTGTTCAAGTCCTATAATTGCTGTGTTGAGAATACCGACTAATTTGTCTATCGAAATGTTTTCGTTTTCAATAACCTCTGGGTCACTTTCTCACTATCCGAAGGGGGAACTTGATTTAAATCATATCAAAGACGAGATGAAATACTACACTTAGTACAGAATTATAAACCAAATAAAAATAAAAACATCTGCCCTGAAGATAGTGCTGCAGCGTGAAATTGATAAACAGATTTCGGATTTCAAAACATACTTTCGCTTTGTAGTAAATATATATCGGAAATTCTATTTGACATAATTGAAAGTTCAAGCTTACTTTTATAAAATTGCTCTAACAGTCTGCAAAAAATAATAAGCCGGATCCAATTCGAAGATTAAGGAACAACGCAATCTGCAACATTAACTGAATTAGATAACTTTAGCTTAGCGTATAACTCCGTTACACATTAAACGCGCATGCGCACAAACATATTCGCAGCCGTAAGGGTCTTACGCGCTCTCGTAAACGCCTGTGCGCATGCGTGAATGCGACGCATGCGCAGAAAGTTTGTAGCTTTGAGGTCCGGATTATAGATCATTCCGGATTATGGGTGTCCGAATTAACGACTTTTGACTGTACTAACATTTTCATCTCTTCAGTAGTATGTGTCCCACCTCCAGCCTATTTAAACTGCAGTGGGTTTCATGTTAGCCTGTTTAAACTGCAGTGGGTTTCATGTTAGCCTGTTTAAACTGCAGTGGGTTTCATGTTTCATTTACAAATAAATTAATAAGTAGTTATTCTGTTTCTTCAAGAAAGAGATATTTTTCACAAAGAGTGGTTTTATTTGAATTATCACACCCATGAAATAAAAACGCAACTTGAAGGCCACAAGCCCTCTCCCACATTTATTTACGCAATGAGATAGAAGTTAATGTGTACTGAGTTTGAAAAGTACAGCTTCCTTCAAATGAGTCATAACACAATGATTGATTAGAATAACTGCAAGAGCAAAATGTGTTCATTTCTTTGTTATCTCCCAAAATTAATGAAAGCTTAAGCAATCTTCTGTTATTGGGACCAGATTCAGAAATGTATGTATGTATGCACATGTATATGCATTTATATACCCTTTATTTGTGTGTATACACATACATACGTACATACAGAATATACACATGCATACATGAGCACGTATATTTATAAATACATGCACATATTGTTAAATATAAGTTTATGACTATGTATCCGATCGCCAATAGATGGCGGTAGTTTTTGTTTGTAAAAAAGAAACTGTGACGTCATAATTATGTATATGTATTAAATCGTCTTTGGTGTTCGTCAATAAACGTTGTGTGAAATAACTTTACTTTACTTTAAATTCGATCCAGTCTGATTTATTAGAGACTTACATATATATTGTTTTTATATACATAAAAACAATACATAAATACATACAGTATATACATAAATACATACAGTTCTGATAATAGAAGAGTATGAAGCTTATTCTTAAAATAATAATAATGTAGGTTGTATTTTTTTGGGGAGGGGAGGATTATGTTGTGAAATTAGAAAATGTTTCCTTGCTGTTGTTCCCTAGCATTCCATGGTATCTGGTAGCTAGCCAGACACTTGAGGAAAGCCATATGCCAAAAAGTAATCAGCATGGCACCAAAAATATAGTGTGGTATAGCGCTAATGGCAAAATACTGGATTTGGATTACGATTAAAAGAAACACTAAAATTGATTGAAGTTAAATAATTTTCAAATTGAAATAATTAAAAAAAAATAGCTATCCATTAGTGTGAATTTATGTACTGAAAAATGTTTATTATTTTTTAAAACAGGGAAAGCAAAAGCAAAATAAAAGAACTGTAACTTTCTTCCAATTTTGCAAAGCAAAGTCTGGTATTTTGCTATGTACAGATGTTGCAGCTCGTGGTTTAGATATACCACAAGTGGATTGGATTGTACAGTATGATCCACCAGATGATCCTAAGGTAAGAAAAACCATATTTAGAAATATTTTTTTGAACTAAAAAGATTAAATAAAAGTGTTGATAAAAATTTTATATGAAAGCATAATTCTCAGATGATTAAATTAAAATCCTTTTCATTTAAAGAATAAAGGCATAATGTTTAAATAACTTTTATTAAAAATATTATAATTATCTGCAGTTTGGAAGATTTTTGCATGTAATGAGTGTTAAACACTTCTCAAAAAGAAATTTTGTTGTAAAACTCTAAAGAAATGTATTGGTAAAATCATATACTATTAGATTTAATTGATTTTGTTATAGATAGCTATTTTAATTACCAGCCCATCTTATTTCATTTTCCTTATTGCGAAATTGAAAGGAAAAATTATAAAAGTACCATAGCAATTAAAATCCAACATTCACTAAAATAACCAGCATATATTTTCTAATCTTATATTTTTATGCTTTAAATTCTGTCCTTAAGCTGCTATTGGGTAATATGAGCAATTTAATATAATAATTTCATCAAGTAATCCCATGACTATTATCATTTTTGAAGAAATTAAAAAAGTAGGTAATTAAAAATAAGTAAGGCACTAATTTAATCAACTGTAATATATTCCTCATCTAAATCAGTAACATTCTTTAAATGCTGCAGCAGGTTTCCCCCCCCCCCCATTTTTGAAGCTAAGATTGCTTTGTGAATCGTTGATATTTTTTAATATTCAAAACTCCTTTACCATACATTTCCTCCAAATTTTTACATCATTTGCTGCACTGTTACCTTCTGAAACATGACATGTTTGGTATGTTTATGTGTTGATTGCCATTTTCACAAGGGACTATTAAAGCAACAAATTAATATCCACATGCTTACAAGCCAGAATTTATATGAATGAAGTTGTCTTTACTTTACAGTATTTTTACATTTGTGAAAATTCACTTATTTAAACTTGTTAAAACATTTTCTAAAATGTACCTGTCTTGAAAACACTATTGTCTGCAAACACACTGTCTGCCAGACCTGGTAGTTAGCTCCTTGATTTACACACTAAATGAAACGAAAAGATGTAAATTGAAATCTGCAGAAAAACAAATTAATCTAAATGAAAATGGTAATCAAATCTCCAAATCAATATAAAGAAAAAAATCGAAGTAACTCAAAACTGTGTTTAATCGCCTGTTTCTTACAACGAGTTATTCTTACTTCCTGACAAACTATTTATTTTGAAAATTGTTAACATTTTGTGCACCATAAGATCTTTAATTTATTTTTGCATATTAGTATAACAAATAGGGGGAATTAAATGACTAAATACTCTTAAAATTGCTCACCTCTATTTTATTTTTACTTCCTTGTGCGATGTAAAAAAAGTATTGTAATCGCGAAAAGCTTCAGGCAGCACATTTTAACGAAAATATCCGTTTTGACCACTTTTGAATGCAATTTAACGATGTTTTTGTGTGATATCTGTATGTAAGGACAGAATAAAATACTCTTTTCCTTCAAAAAAATTATAAAACTGCTTTAAAATCAATTCTGAAGATAATTTTTTGTGGCGTCTGTTCGAACGTATGTACGTACGTGCGTAGGTACGTATCTCACATAACTCAAAAATGAGTAGCCTCAGAACGTTGCAATTTTGTATATAGGACTGCTATAACATGTAGAATGTGCACCTCATATTTTGGTTTCAATCGGCCGCGCCAAACGTATATAAATATATTTATAAATATATCCACTCTGTTACCTGGCTCGGTGATCTCAGTTTCTTTACTCTTATATGTTTGTAAATTGTACATTTTTTGCTTAAAAAAATGATTGATTTATGTTGTTTTTATCTTCCGGTTAAGAGTTTTATGCCTTTAGTAAATCTGTATGCAATATTTTTAGAATTATCAACAATTTTAAAATTGTTTAAGTGCAGCTAAGCCTAATTTGATGGCGGAAAATGCTCTTGTTTACATTTGAAACAGCTGAGTAGCAGATTTGTTGCCAATCTAGAGAAACTTAGCTTTGCAACAACAAAGATACACCTTCATTTATTATTTAAATCATGCTTAATCCTTTCTGGAATTTTTTCGAGGAAATAAGCGTTTTAAAGATTTACTTCGTAATTTTTAATACAGATATTTTGAGTTTTTATGTATTTTTGCCTTGTTGCGAAGTGAAAACTGAATTAATTGAATGAGAAATAATCGATCGTCTGTAAAAAACTGTTTCTTTTTTGTTTTGTTTGCTAAATTTCTTTTATACATAGTTCTAGCTTTATTATAGTGTTTAAATAGAACATGTGGCAACGATTAGATAATTCTTTGTATCATATAAATTTTGTGCATTCTGAAATATAATACTGTTAAGTAAACCTAGCGCCAGAGTGTTTTATGCGCTGTCGGCGAAGTAGGTTTAATTCAATCTAATAAGTTTAAATAAAATGCAAGAAAAAATGCGTACAATTTAATATTCCGTACAAGGAAGTCATGTGGCATACACATCAGATTTTTTTAATTACATATCTAGTTCGTGATTTATTCTAAACATTAGTACCATCAGTATACTAAATAAATAAATTAATATGTTTAAGTTGCAAAGAATCAGTTTTATCCTGCCTGTAACGAGCATGTTATGTTTTTATTTTATTGCTACTGTGCTTTTTTATAAAAATTAATGTACTGAAATTAGCTTTTACAAAAGAATTTCATATTTTCTTATTTTGGATTTCTAAAGACTTTTACCCTTTTGCAAGAAATCGTGATTTGCATTCCCCCCCCCTAAAGGAAGAACACTGCATGTAATAAAAAATATTTTCGAATGACTTTACATATTAATAGATGCATATTTTTAATATTGTTGAGTCCCCCCCTCAATTTATTGTTTAAATTTGAAGATTTTAAAAATACATTGCAAATTTGAAGGTTTGTAAAATACATATCAATAATGAGATATTCAAATATCTTATATATGTAGCAAAAAGGCAAAAAATATACAGATAAAAATCTGCTCCTAGTAGTATATCTTAGGGTTTGGCAATGAGGTTGTTGCATGCATAATAAGTATTAGTTTTCCCTTATTGTAAATGTTTTAATTTTCATAGGAATACATCCATCGTGTGGGTAGAACAGCTCGTGGTGAAAATCGAAATGGTCATGCACTGCTTATTCTGCGCCCTGAAGAGTTAGGATTTCTTAGGTATTTGAAACATGCTCGAGTACCACTGCAAGAGTATGACTTTTCTTGGAACAAAGTTGCAAATGTACAAAATCAGGTTAGTTTTGCTCATCTAAAATGCATGTACTTATTTCCTATTGGAAATAAAATTTTCATGTCAACCAAACAATTTTTGCCAAGATGAATATACCAAGTAATCCTGAAGTAACAAAAAAAAAAAAAAAAAAAAAAAATCCGTGACTGAAAAAGTGTCGACCATAGCACAATGTAGTTTTTTTTTTTAAAGGAGTTTTTATATTATTATTTTATTTTATTTTATTTATTTGAAAGATTTTGTTATTAGAATAGTTACGTTTTTCATTGATAGATCATACTTCAGCTATGTCAGGAGTTTATACAATGGCATATCACAGTTCGCAGTGCAGCTAGGACTAAAAATTGCATCTAACAGTTGTGGTTTATGAAAATGGTTTTTCAGGTATAGCATGACATGCTGCCATAATATCAAAGATATTTCATGTTCTTGTTGCATGATGACAAATTTCTTTCAGTGTGAGCAATAACATCAGCCAAGTTCTGTGCACTTTTAGCTTTAAGTAGCCCCTTAACCAAATTTTGGTAATTTGGTGGCTATTTATATAGAAAAAATGACTCAGGATGTGATTATTATGAAATTTTGATCATAGTAGGTATGGGCAAGACCTATGTGGAGGTATTCTTCCCTGCATGCTATACTCTGAATTGCTTGCCTCTTATGGAAATATTTTGTCTCTTAAGAGCACTGCATAATGCTGGGTAGTGATAGATATCATTTGAAATGTACAACTGTGAACTTCCTCAGGGGGAAAGAGTAGGAGCCTGCAATGAATAACAAAGAACCTGTGCCGTGCTATCATTGGTTGATGCCAATGTGTGTATTATTGGTTGATGCCAATGTATGTGAATTCTTCCTTGTCCAAATGTAGCAGTTGTCTGCATTTATACCTCCATTAAGCAAAGAAATGGTCTTATCAGTCCACATTATTTTCCATTTGTTGAAAAGTCTAGTTTGCAATTCACAATGTGCCTCGAAATCATTTGGTTTCAGTTCATGTAGTTGGTGGATTTTTGTCAGGCTATGATTTAAGCATGATCCTAAGTGATCATCATGCAGTTCCATATAAAGTTCCATCTTTTATCTATTGATAAAAGATGTAATTATTCTGGCAATAAAAGTTTCCATTATTATTTTTTTTAAATCTTCTATGCATTTTTTTAATGGCATTGTGCTAATGTTTAAACATCTTGAATAATTGACTTTTTACTCTTTTTGTTACTTTGGGGTTGCAAGGTATTTATGTATCTAATTTAGTTAGAGATAGATATTTAGAAGAATAAAATTTAGTAAAGTTTTATTAGTTTCTATATTTAGTAAATTATTGTCTGTTACTGTCTTCAAGAACTGTTGAAAAGAATGTTATGTAGGATGCTTATTGTATCAGTGGAAGGCAGTTTGTAAAATATTGTTATATCAAGAACTATATTAGAGTTGGCAATATTAAGCACTCTGTCATTGTCTCTGTTCATAAAACGTTAAATATTTCCACTGAAAAGCTTGTGTAGGTATAATGCTAACATATACCCAGTTTATATAAAATGCAAAATATTGTATTATAATGTAATTTTGCACATGGATAGCTTCTCAAACAAGCTTTTAATCAGTATAAAGTTTTTTTTTTTTTTTTTTTTTTTTTTTTTAAAGATTAATTTGTTTCTAAACTTGAACACCTAAGACTAATTAAAACTCTCCTAGATCTCACCTAAACTCAAACACCTAAGACTTGTGTGGTTATAAATTAGGGAATTCATTAACGTGAACAAAACAGGTGCACTCTGTAGTGAAAGTGTGCATTGACTCCTTTGGTATATTCAAGACACCTGCCAAAGGAACCACTTATAATAATTCAGTAATTCACAGCATGAATAATAATTGATATAAATTAACACTTTAAAACTCTCCTAGATGCTGTGTTATAGCAGTTTAACATTTAATTTGTGATCAGTACCAGGAGGCTTTGAACTTGCCCTTAATTAATTACCAGCGATCTGCTATGTGGAAAGTGACATTCTAGATTTGTTGAATCTAAAGCATAACATGTTTCTGCTACATCAAAACATTTTAACTACAAATTAAATTATAAAGCAAATGCATAAATTTGTACTTGTCTTTATTGCAAAAGAGGAAGCAGTAGTATATGCTGAATATCTGATTGAATTGCATTCATTTTCCAGATTAAAGTTATACAAAAATATATCCTGATTTGCCTTGAATTTATGTGCCATTGCTATATAAAGAAATAATTAAAATAGTGAGGAAGTTAACACTAGTAAGTTATATTCCTGAAAATATATACTGATATTCAGAAAAATCCCATCAGGGAATATAAGAAAAATGTTCATGCTGTATTATATTTCTTATTCTAAAATTATTAATATTATATATGAAGTTTACAATGTTGTAGCCTATTTTAATGAAATTTTAAAAATATTTAATGACTTTGAGTAATGTATTAAAATTACTTTAATGTACCAAAAAGTAAAAGAAATTTTTAAAAATATACCGTATTTACGCGAATCTAATGCGCATCGTTTTTGGCCAAATGTAGTATTCAAAATTGGGGTCGCATTAGATTCGAGTGCAAAGTTCGCCGATGACGTCAACCAAATTTCTCGACTACATTTACCGATACATTTATCGTTGACACATTATTGCATAGAGGATACAAACTGCAGAGTACGTAGTCACGAAATGGAGGGCAAACAGAGAAGAATGTCATGTGACGCTACTTTCAAACGTAAAGTAATTCTTTATGCTGAAAAAAATGGCAATAGAAAGGCAGAGAGAGAGAGTTCAACGTAGCTGAGAGCAATGTTCGCTTGTGGCGGCAACAGAAATTGGCACTGTTTGCAACTAAAGCTAGTAGAAAGAAATTCACTGGCCCTCGCAAAGGAAGACACCCTAAAATTGAAGAAAAATTTTGGAATTTGTATGTGAGAGGAGGAAGAATGGACAAACTGGGACTAGTGACACCATAAGAAATAAAGCAAAAGAGGAGGCTGAAGTTCTTGGAATACCGAAACAAGAGTTTAAGGCTAGCCGTGGATGGGTGGATCGGTTTATGAAGCGGATGGGTTTATCTCTAAGACGCCGTACAACAATATGCCAAAAGCTTCCTGCAGATTTTGAGGGAAAACTACTAACATTTCAGCGGTATGTCATCACACTTCGGAAGGAAAAGAATTTTTCAATGGGGCAAATTGGCAACGCTGACGAGACGGCCAATTTGGTTTGATATGCCTCGTAACTACACCATTACGGAGAAGGGGACTAAGGAAGTTATCATCAAAACTTCGGGATGTGAAAAACAACGCGTAACAGTGATGCTGGCAATAACAGCAGACGGGTGCAAACTTCCCCCTTTCTTAATCCTCAAACGGAAAACATGCCCTAAAACCCCTAAGAATGAAAAGCTGTTCCCAGATGATGTCCTGATTCGAAACCAAGAGAAGGGGTGGATGACGGAATCATTAATGCTTGATTGGCTCCGAAATGTATGGAAACGCCGTCCCGGTGGGCTCTCTAATCCACCATCAATGCTTTGTCTGAACGCATTTCGTGGTCATCTCACCGACGACGTAAAAAAGAAGATGCACAGCCTAGGCAGTGATCTTGTTATCATTCCTGGAGGGATGACGTCTGTGTTACAACCCCTGGACGTTAGTATAAATAAACTTTTTTAAGGGGTACGTTCAGGCGGAGTACGAAAAATGGTTTTGTGAGCCAAACCGTGTATTGACCCCGACAGGAAAAATTAAGCGTGCTGCACCGCACATTGTTGCACACTGGGTTTCTGCTGCCTGGAAAAGCATCGAAGCACCAATGATTGTGAAATCTTTCAAGAAATGCTGCATTTCAAATGCATTGAATGGCAGTGACGATGACGTGCTCTGGAAGGCCGAGGATGAGGATGACGATGATGAGGAAAGAAGAAATGAATCTGCTTCTGACGAAGAGAGCTGCGAGGATTCCAGTGATGAAAACATTAGTGAATAAAGACGTTTACTATTAATCACTGATTGTAGAAACTGTTAGCTAGATAGAAATGTTACGATTTATTTCATGTTCATATTTTACGATAGATACCGTATATACGGTAGTGCTAATTAACAATGATTGTTTCACATGACAATAGCCCGCTAATAGGTTAATTCTATGTTCTGCTGCTTTATGTATATATCCATGGTTGCATAAAATATGGTATCTAAATTTAAATAAAATTATCATACCATTAATTGATAGTTTATATACAAATCCATTGTTGTATAAAATAAGATTCAATAAATTCCTCATATCATTGATGCGCATTACATTCGCCGACAAACAATTTTTTTATTATTTAAAGTTTTAAAATGGGGATGCGCATTAGATTCGCATAAATACGGTAATTCTGAGTAATGGATTAAAATTATTATTATTAAAAAGTACCAAAAAGTAAATATTATGGCTACATGCAGTAGAAATTTTCTACAGAAAATTTATAATGACTGATCTGATGGAGTGTGTTATGAGAAAATGTAATATTTCTGCATATTAATTAGCTAGTATTTTATTGGGAAAATTGAAGCACACATAATGTTGATGTATACAGTAAAATAATGATAACAATAATTGCATGTATTATATTAGACAGTTTCAGTTGAAACAGCAGTGTGCATTAAGTAGCTGAACTTAATTAAATCAAATAATATTTGAGATATTTTTTCTTTCTGAAGTTAGAAAAAATAATTATTACATTTATTATTCTTGGTAAATATTGAAAAAAAATTGCATTTAAAAGTTTTTAATGAATTATTATAAATTGTACTTTATTTCTAGCTGGAAAAACTTGTTACAAAGAATTATTACCTACAAGTATCTGCAAGGGAAGCATTCAAGAATTACATTCGTTCATATAAATCTCATCATATGAAGAAAGTATTTAATGTGGAAACATTGGATCTTGCTGCAGTTGCAAAATCTTTTGGTTTTCCTGTACCTCCGTTTGTCAGTTTTTAAATAAAGATATATGTATATATTTTAAGCTTTTTGTGTTACCAGCTAGTCTGTACATATTATTACAGTTTTACATATTTTTATAAAACCACTGCCACAGTAATATATACATATTTGTGAAAAATTTGTTTAATTGTTAAAATTTTTTTAGTAAAAATTTATGCTATTAAATAGTAATATATTTTTAGTAGGATTATATTAGTAGGAACTTATATAATTATAGGTTTAGGAATATTCATAATTTGTTTTCTAAATTTAGGGGAGGGGATAAAAGATTCTTTCCCTCTATATTTGTCTCTTTATATATGCATGTATGAGCTTAAGTGATAATAATAATAATGATACCTCTTTATATCTTATAGGGGCTTTTATAATGCTTATGATAAGAGATGTGCAAAGCAGATGACATAGGAAATTTGAATAATCTTTTAAAAAATGTATATTCATGTACATAATATTTTTTTAACATTTATTTCTTAGAAGATCAATATAATTATATAAACTCAGTTCGTGCAAACTATTTCTGGTTTCAAAATATAAAAGTCATAAGAAAGATAAGCATTAACCCCTTCGCGCCGACTGTCACGTATACGTGCCAGCAACGAACACACTTATCTACCGGCTGACACACAGGCGTGCCAGAGTATTGTTGCGTTTTCTACCGAATGTCACGTATTTGTGCCACTACCTTGGAACGTTTTTCAAACTATAATTTCTGCCACAAGATGGCACTGTATGTCCATATGGTTTTAGATACATGTAGATTAGACCTTCTCGAAATGAGAGAAGCATGACTCACATACACGTGTTTTTGATTATATAAACAAACGGGGAACTAAATGTTTCCAAATGGCGTGATTTATGACGTCTCTTTAAATCGCACTTTATTCGCACGTGGTAGTTTTATATGCGCTAAAGCGTTGAGTATTTCGGTTTACAGTTCAGTTTTTAGAAAATAATTAGATCTTGTTAGACGTGAATTCTTTCTGTTTTTACCGTTTCAATGTCGAAGCGTCGAAAATGTTTAACAGAGCATGAAATAGCAGAAATGATGCAAAATATTTCAGATATTGATTCTGAAATTCTGATATTGATTCTGAAAGATTAACTGAAAGACATTTTCCAAAACTTTGTTCAGAAGAGACTGATAAGAAAATGAGACGACGATGCTTCGTTTGTTCACATTCCTGGAAAAATCCTCCAAAACGGCAAATGAGTTATTACGAGTTCAAGGAATGTAAACGTAGGACTGTGTGTAGATCCCTGTTTTAAAATTTTCTTACGAAAAGAGAATTTTAAGTAATATATTTAGTTTTCAGATGTATAATGTTAAAAGTCATAAAATGGTGAGTAATTAAAATAAAATGTGTAAAATATGCATTTAAACAAGAAATAAGGTAATTAAAGTATATATATAAAAATATTTATAAAGCATAAGCCGTTTAAATACTCTATAGAGCATTATTAAACAATGCGTTGATACTTCGGAGATTTCATGGATTTAGGCTTAGTAGCAAAAAAGCCCCCGGCCCTGGAGAGATGCTTGCGGAAGACACTGCCGGCCTCCGCGATAAGCGTGCGTTTTTGCTACCCGGCTCGAAGGGGTTAACACTTTTTATTACTAATAATAAGAAAATGAATACATAAATGTTATCTGTATTAGTCACTGTAAAATTTGATTGCTTGACTTATAATTAAAATAAATATTTACTAGCAAATTACTTAGTATACTTGATTTTTACTCTTGGATTATACTAATCTGTCTTCTAGCTGTTAAGGAAGTAAATTCTTGAATTATTTTAGCAAGGTTAGATTATTCTCAATTAAGAACAAAGGTAAACTGATAGGCCTTTCCTGTCCCATACTACTGTACAAATAATTTTTTATTAATTTCAGTTTTGAGAATGATTATTCAGCCTTAGCTACAGTTACCAGAACTGTTAAGTATATGATGCATGCTGTGTTCAGGAAACTCAGGAAAACTTGATGAAACTGTGATTTGTAATCAGAAATTCTGCTTATTCTCTGACTCTAGTATTTTTATAGTTAGGTGAATAATTATTCCTCTTGAAAAGGGAAAACGTAAATATTGTTAACAAGGTTTAATTTTTTTATTTTTCAAAATAAAATTTGTTATATATAAAAATTCAGTTGCTCAAGGAACCACGGTGCTGTCCTAGTAGCCCCAGTGGTAGTTGTGCCTCTGTCCCTCATCTTTTATACATAAGAACCAAACCTTTCTCTGCTTAGAATTGTAAAATAAGTAATAGTTTATAATTTTATTAAATTTTTCAAACTGTTTGTGCTACTTCTGTGTTTATCAACATATGTAATGTAATACAAAATTTGCTATATGTGTATTTTATTTTATTCCCATTGTCATATATTTATTAAGAAATATGCATAGTTTTAACATTTATGTTTCCAGTAAGCTATTTGTTATGTTGCATTTGCAAATGCAATGAAATCTTTCTCTCTGAAGCAGAAAACTCAGTCATATAACATAGAAATATATTAAAAATTAGCATATAAAATTTTAATTGAAGAATCAAAGTGAAGTTATTTTCATTTGTTTGTCTGATATAAAAAAATTGAGGAAATAGTATATAGTTAATATATATACATAGTATATAGTTGAGACTATATTTAAAAATACCCTTCATTCATAAACCCTAAGATAACAGACCACCCATTATTCCAGATGATCTTCTGTGAAGGTGTTTGTCTTAGAGGAGTACTGTTGAGTACTGTATTCATTGTCTTGCGAGAAATACTGATCACTCTTCGAGATAGTTGCTTGAAAATGTTTCTCTGCATTTACAATTTTGATGGTATGTATTTCAGTGTGAGCAATAACATCAGCCAAGCTCTGTGCACTTTTAGCTTTAAGTAGCCTCTTAACCAAATTTTGGTAATTTGGTGGCTATTTATATAGAAAAAGTGACTCAGGATTTGATTATTATGAAATGTTGATCATAGTAGGTATGGGCAAGACATATGTGGAGGTATTCTTCCCTGCATGCTATACTCTGAATTGCTTGTCTCTAATGCAAGGAGGGAAATATTTTGTCTTTTAAGAGCACTGCATAAGGCTGGGTAGTGGTAGATATCATTTGAAATGTACAACTGTGAACTTCCTCAGGGGGAAAAAATAGGAGCCTGCAATGAATGACAAAGCAAAGAAAACTGTGCCGTGCTATCAATATGATGCCAATATGTGTATTATTGGTTGATGCCAATGTATGTGAATTCTTTCTTGTCCAAATGTAGCAGTTGTCTGCATTTATACCTCCATTAAGCAAAGAAATGGCCTAAAGTCTAGTTTGCAATTCACGATGTGCCTCGAAATCATTTGGTTTCAATTCATGTAGTTGGTGGATTTAATGGCCAAAGGTGCATGAAAGCCAATCTGGGAAAAAAATAATTTATACGGGCGTGAAGATCTGTTGGAATATCAAACCGATTAATATCAACCTTTTAAAATAAACTAATGTCTGAATGTGAAAATTTATTTTATTGATTTTTTGTAATAATTGAATATCTTTTCAATGCCTTTACCATTAAAATATATACCCTCCCCCTCTCATTAATAAAATTTTTACTTTTATATGTAAAGTATATAAAATTCAACTCTTCAATTCAGGACTTTAAAATGCTTGAAATGAATTTTGTTTAAATATGGCCTTATTTGTCTTGTATGTGAGCAATTTTTTGACTTGTTGGCATTTTTCCAGTCTCGGTAAATGATCAACTTGCTTTTAAAAAACACACTAGAAAGCTTAGCCCTGAATTTTGTTTCAGCAGTTTAATATGCTAGCTGCATGAGAGTTTTGTGGTTTTCCTCTTGTAAAAAGTAGATGCAGGTCAGTTTTCCTCAGATTTGGTTGTTTGAATATGGCAAAACATTTTATGTCTGCCTAAAGGAATGAATGCTTTTTTGAATGACTAAGGGAAACTGCCTTGTATATATGTAACACAGGGAGAAGATCACAAAAACTAACCTTGCAACCAGCACTTTCGCCTGGGATCACACAATAAGTATTCAGCAGTTGTAACCACTCAGCCATTAGCGAGGCTCCAGTTTTCTTTGCTTGTATCTTAAGTGTGATAGTCGAACAATCCATTCCTTAACTGTGTTTTTTTTTTTTTTTTTTTCCCCATAAATGCTGTCATTAAAATTGAAAAAATTTTGTGACAGATTAAGTTTACTCAATGGATATGGTTATTCTGGTCTGAAATAAAGTAATTCTTATATATTTTACTCTCATAACAAATACTTTAGATAGGGTTTTGTATGGATCTGAGGATCTCTTTTTAGGATATGAGGTTCTTAGGAAACAATTTTGGCCCTTAATTTTATTCATTTGCATTTCTGTCTCTCTCTCTCTTTTTTTTTTTTTTTTTTTTTTTTTTTTTTTTTTTTTTTTTTTTTTTTTTTTTAGTTTGCCATTTTAAGTGTGAATTAACATCTTGGAGGAATATGTTTTGATGATTCATTGACAACTATGTATTTGCTGAGTTATCATTTGAATACTTTCTTACTTTTTAATATAAGTGTGGATATTTGAGTTTTTGGCCACAAGGCACTGCCTTGATTGAAACATAAACATTTCAAAATTATTCTTTATTCACAAATAAAGGGTTAATAAAATATTATATCCTAAACAACTTTTTTCTTTTTAGAATTTCTAAATTTGATGACTTATCAGCATTTTGCAAATTTCAAGATCAATTTATATACAAAATTTTTTATTCAGAAATTTGCAAATTTTTCAGATAATTCTTTTAAAACATAACAGTATTGCTAAATATCATTAAAACAATGATAAACATTAAAGTTAAAAATACAGTTAACAGTTAAGAAATAACACTAGAACAAAACTTTATTTTCTCGTGTCATATTTTTAAGTAACATTACTTTCCATTTTTCTGACTTGGGAATATTTTGATTCTGAAAAATAAACAATAAATGTTACACAGTATACTAGTTTCCAGAAACTCTTCTTAGAAAAAGCTACTGTAATTATT